CAAGAGCTGTTGCACCAGCAGTTCCCGCCGCAACAACAATTATACCGGAAGCTGAAGCATCCGTCCGGTCCAGGCTTAAGAGAAATAAGCGGCCACCAGATCGTTACTCTCCGTAACACATAATTTTACCTTGTGGGGGAGTATGCCGTGTTGGCTGAGAAAGAAAAAGTGAAAGCCGTTTACAACTCCCTGTAACGCCGAATTGGAGCGCAGCTCTTGAGGAGGAGGAGGGAAGGGTACTGAGGGGAGGGTAGACCCCTCCTCCTCCTTCTCCTCCCCTCATTCTTTACTATGCTCCGGGGGGTCACCTGACCTCGGGGGGAGGGGGTCACGTGACCTCGGGGAGGGGGCCACGTGACCTGGGGGGCCACGTGATCTCGGGGGTCACGACACCTTGGGGGTCACGTGACCTTGGGAGGATCACGTGACCTTAGGGGTCACAAGACCTTGGGGGTCACGTGACCTGGGAGGTCACGTGACCGGGGGAGTCACGTGACTTGGGAGGTCACGTGACCGGGGAGTCACGTGACTTGGGTGGTCACGTGACCGGGGGATTCACATGACCGGGGGAGTCACGTGACCTGGGGGTCACGTGACCGGGGGAGTCACGTGACTTGGGGGTCACGTGACCTTGGGGTGACCTTGAGAGGGGTCACGTGACCTTGGAAGGTCACGTGTCCTGGGGGTCACGTGACCTTGGGGTAACCTTGGTTACGCCGACGGCGACGCCGCTGAAGCCGGAAACGGGCCCCTAAGAGCTGCGCTCTAAAAGTTAGGACTGGATGGATTGGGCGGGAAAAAAGGAGGAAGAAGTGGATAGAATAAATGATGTACGTCACGCACAGTGACTGGGCTAATCACGGTCGGTTCATTCTACGGTACAATACAACACACGGACAGCCTTCATCTTCATCCGAAGCACACCTGTCATCACATAGGGCATCCCTGATTATCTCACCGTCCCTCGGCTGACCGGCCACAACAAACACCGTCATGAATCGCAAGGTAGTCAGCAAGTTGCACTTGGGCAGGAAGCACACCGTCGAAACGGCCATTGTCGTCTTCAGCGACGTCTGGAGTCTCCACGACCTGGCAAGCTTCAAACCGGACAAAGCCGCGGTGCTTAAAACAGTTTGCAAAAAACTCAGTGGGCGTGTTGTTCCACACGTACGACAAAATGAGAATCACACTGAGGAGCGAAACTTCGTATTCCTTTACAGCCTCGATGCACAGCAACATTCGCCCCAATACATGCTACCTGTGATTGCTTTTCACGTACTGAATTATCCCTTGATCCATGGGTTGAAGGGCAGCAGTCGTGCTCAGAGGCAAAAACACGACCTGAATGCACTCCAGTCCCGACACGTTGGAGTGGGTGCTGCAATTACAGTCGAACCCGGATATATCGAATTCAAAGAGGATCAAAGAATAATTTAATATATCAATAATTTGATATACTAAAATATGTTAAATAAAGCTCGAGTTCAAAGTTCCTGCCGTTTCTGCTAATACCAAAAGTTGCGACAAACGGGAGCTTACCAAATGGAGCTTACCAAATATATGCCGTACTAATGGCGCTTTTCTGTTTACTGATGAAGGAACATGTTCAAGATATTTCTAAGCTGAGGATTTGAGGCCTATACATTTGAGGTATCAGCACGTTGCAAAGCAGGAATTGAATGGAAAAGCTGCGTAAGCGTTCATTTCTAACTCGCGCCCAGTCAATCTGTTAGTCGCCCAAAATAAACTTGAACGCTTGTTGATGTATAGAACTTTATCAAGGCGTTTATCTGGGGTGGCACATCACCCCGATTGCTTGCATCTTTGTGGCCATTGACACTGAAAGAGATGACCGAGAAAGAATTGCACAGTCTCGCTTGCCGTTGACTAGCGTAAGTGACAATGCCCGATAGAATATTGCAGGCTACAGGTTCATTGCAGCCATTAGAGTGGCAAAAGTTAACCATCATTTCAGCCGCCAGATGGCACTGCATTTCGAAAAGGGTATATTACAGTAGCTTACTTTAAACACTTTTAATGCAAAAGCATTAAATGCCCCATGGAGTGAACCGACTTCATCAGCTTTTGAAGGCGCGCTAAACGGCACGTTCTTTTGTCCCAGTGAAGCGAAGCCTGTCGTCTGTGGCAGAAATTTGAAGGATAGGCTCCTATTGGCTGGCGCACATCATAATTTCAAGAAATGAGGCTCCTATCGGCTCCTGTGCGGCGTAGTTCCAAGGAATGCCACCACAAAAGCCCTCTCCATGGCAGCACAGCACATGCGGCGGTCCGGCCACCGATAACAGGTGCGGGCCGCACACGTCAGGTCAAGACATTCCAGGGAGAAGGCTATTTTCTGAGGTCCTGACTGACAGTTGGAACCAGACACGTAACGCGAAGGTGCGTCTAGAAGTGTGTATTCAGGTGGGACTGAGTAAATGCGGGATTAGCGTTGGAGGCTAGCGTTTTCGTCGTGTTCCCCGAAAAAGAGAAGTGAGTGCATTTAAAAATAGGGCTTGTTCTCCTCCCCAACCCCCATAGACACTCTCGCCCATTACGTAGACACATCCTCACCCAAAGAGGGCAACAAAGTTAGGCATCTGCTCTGAATCTTGTGGGCACGGTGCTCTTCAATCTTGCACTATGCAACAAGCGTCATTTCCATTGTTTTGTGGTGTACTTGAAGAATAGCGTGCTCTTTTTTTTTCTTTTTCTCTTTGGTGATCGAGTTAGGAAAAAGGCGGACTGGGTACACCTTTATTAGAAAATGAAAGTTCAAGAAAGATTTGGCCGATAGCGGGAAAAGGAGGGACACCCGAGTAAACAAGCTGGTACCCGCGCAGGTGAGCCAGGTGATTTCTTTACACTGACCTATTTTAGCACAGCTCGAGGGGTTTCAAAGATTGTTCGAGAAACCTTAGGAATTCTTCAAATTTTTACATAAAAGATAATAAACAATCAAACACAATGTCTGCAAAATTACGCTCATAAAAAAGCAAAACCTCAAAGTGCAAACATCATATAGCTGCACTGTACGTCTAAAAAGAGGTGTCAATTTGTGCGTCATCAAACAAAAATTTTTGAAAAGATTAATCCAGAAGGACCCACAGAGGCAGAACCTTCAGGCAGCTACTTTTTACGGCGATAGCTGTTTTTCACTCTTCCTACCACTGGAAATGACATCTGCTCTTGATGTTGTAGTCGACGTAGTAGGGCGTCCGTTGTTGATGCTGCCAAATCCTCGAAAAAAACCACCCGCTGCCAGCTGCTGAACTACAAAGCGTTAACAACCCGCTTTATACTTGGGGTTCCTGTAATACCCACTGCATGTGCTCCCTGGTAAAAAAAATGGCTGATAACAAAATGCTGTTGTAGCACTGTCAATGCCAACAGCTTGTGCCGGAAGACACAATTTCATGTGCCCCGGAACAAAAAAGAAACAAAAGCATTCGGAGCAAAATGGTCAGATCTGTATTTTGTTCCAAACACTTTTGTCCATGGTGCGTGAACGCGACACCGATACCCAACAACTTCACTGTGACGTTTCACAGCTATCTCTCTGACTGTACTATGGACGAACAGAGGAGTGCTCAATTTTCAATCGACAAAAACTTTTTTTTCCTACCATAAAGAATATAAAAAGTAACTTTGAAAGTAATTTGTTACTTTTTTACGGTAGCATAGCCTACTAATTACTTTAGAATTGAGTAATTTCTTTCCCTACTCAAATTACTTTTGATGAAGACACTGCTCTATCGCTTTTGCTTTCACAGCAAAAGCAGAGGCCAACCTCGTTCCTTTCAACAGAGACTGATCTTGGGGAATAGGAAAAAGTCGGAAGGGTGCAGGTCAGGTGAGTATAGTGGGTGGTCCAACACGGTGATGCTAAGCTGAGCCAGGAACGACACGACTGACAAGTGGTGGCACATTGTCTTAATGAAAAATCCCTGAATTGTTCCTCCACATTCCAGGCCATGTTGCTCCTTGCTCAGCATAGCATCACAGTGATAAAGCATCTGCCATACCTGCCTGACTTGGCCCAATCTGACTTTTTCCCATTCCTCAAGGTCAAATCTGGGTTGAAAGGAACGAGGTTCGACTCTGTTGATGCTGCGAAGTCAAGAGCAACAGAGTTCATGAAGGGCTTATTACTCGACGACCTGCAGCACCCCGTTCAGCAATGGAAGCTTCACATGGAGTGGTGTAGGGACAGGAGAGAGAAGGTACAAAAAAGAAATTTTTTTAATACTTTTCTTTTAAGGACGACTTCTGTTACTTAATATATACACCACATATGTGCCTTAGGCACATTTTAGCATAAGTAACTAACCATATATCTTAAATGTTTAGACAATTTTCAAACCTGCAGGCAAATAAATATGTTTGCTGCGTCGCAGTCATTTTGTACCATTCCATTAGTGAAAAATTTCGCCACCATCTTTTTCATTTGAAACCGATACTGCAAAGCAGATGATGCACAGCGGTATTTCTAGAGAAATATTTGCAAGAGAGGAGGGACTTGAAACAGGTGCATACAACTCGACTGCTTCCCCTGAATTCTTAACTTACCACTGGTTGCAGACATTTATATCCATCAGAGCTGTCTCATTTCCACACTGTCGGTCTAAACAACCTGGACAGTGAGCGTATATATACCAGAAAGAGGCCACGAAAATTGGCCGACACTTGTTGGAAAAAGGGAAAACTGCATGCCCTTTTTGGGCCAATTACAATTTCACAAGTCCGAGTTTCCGGACTAAATCCGAATCCTAAGAACATTTACTGGCAAAAGTTTGCTGAATTCCTCGATTTACGTATGCATAAACACAGACGTCTAGTTTAACTTACTGGCCCTTGCCAGTTTAAACAAACCGCTTAAAGCAGTTTATACCAAATTTGGGTCAAGTGTACCATGCGTACCAGCTGCAGATGCGGCAGGTGCAAAACACGTCACCCCCCTCCTGTCATTGTAAATTAGAATGCCATTGAAGAAGGCGACATCTGTTTCGTAGACACTTTATTTTTAATATGCACTTTTGTTACAAAGGAAACTGAATTTGTGCAATAAACACTTGGGGAGACTCGGAACTCATAAACTTTACAACCGAGAAAATTGCACATAGCCGTAACTGCTTCATGCAGATGGTGAGGGGGAAAAGGTTTACTACACACTGTTTATGTTACAGGCCATTGGGAATTTAAAAATAACTGCTCAGATTAGAGGCGCGCAAAACCGCCTTTCAATACATTGCACGGGAAACAAACTACAAACTACTTCACAAGAAAACCGTGGTTATTAGGAATGTAGAGTTCCTAAGCCCATTCAAAGCTTATACATCCTGTGTAATACATGCAAACTGATAACCAGCTCATATACATTTATATCCCCGCTTATTTACAAAAACTTAATCGCTCAATAATAATAATGTTAATAGCAATAATAGCCACAGTTTGATTATCATAAGACCATAAACCATTTAATCGAGTTAATTAGTTTCACGCCAACAGCATTTCTGAAGAGTAACAAAAGAGACAAGATGTTAGAGGAACAAGAGGCGGGTTAAAAAAATGTGAACAAAATGAAGCCTCAGGCCTCAAGTTCCCTTGAACCTAGGGTCCAAAGCCGCACTCCTGAGAAGGAACGTTCTCGTGACAAAAACGCTTTCTAGTCGAGGCCCAGAGCATCTCGCTACATTCCACCAACTCTGGTGACCGTGCAAAAAAACTCCATTCGGGAGAGAGCTAAGACCACACGACCGTACCACACTTCGCGAGAAGCGTAGACCGAAGCAGAAAAGCTCAGGCACATCATCCTTCGTCTGCTTGCAAAACCAAGATGACAAGAAAGAGGTAAGTGGGAGGGAGCCCCAACGTACCCCACCGAAACTTTTGAAACCAATGTATGAATGCACGCTTGTGTTTGGAACCCTCTCCGATAGGGAGGGCCATCATCGACAAGGGCACAAGCTTTCGCTAATGTCGGGCTCTCGATTAGTGGGTACCCAGTTCGCCCACTGGCTTCTTATATTTGTGCGACGGTACAATTCAGGCAAATGTGAGGTATGATATTTCGAGGGTACATAGAATAACAAAATATACATACAAGAAAACTTCATCACAATTTCACGGCTTTAAATGTTGCCATGCAACTACTTCTAAAGCGGCTAATGTTGTTAGCGCTTCTTTGTAACTACCATAAATGATAATCTAGCCTTTTTTTCGCAGAAAAAATACATATGACCAAATAGATATGACCAAACACCCATCTTCCTCCTCCGTAAACCTTCTCCGGTGAAGTGATCACCGATAATAATGAAGGAAGCACTGTAAATAAAAAGAATGTCGGTTTTGGCAACTAGCTCTAAGGTAGTACTCTAACTCTCCTTCCTTCAAAACAAAAAGAAAAAAAAAAACACATAAACTTTCCAAAATACAACAAATGCCTCCATTAAAACCCGATTCTTCAGAACAATCACAATCTGATGGGTTATATTTTCTTTCCATCGATTGATAAAGACAGACAACTGTCAAACAGTATGACTAGACAACTTGCACATAAAAAATTCTCCCCTGGAATAAAGAAACCAAACCAATCGGTGCAAATAACCAAACTCGATAAAGAACCATGAAAAAAAAACAAAAAAAACATTGAGGCTGAGCTCTATGCATGGAAACCAAAACTGCAACTCCCAAATGCAAATGATATTGAAGGGCCCACTTAGGTTATCCTCTGGCTTACGCAGCATCATCAGGTTGGAAAGCAAGACCTAACCGCTGAAGGTCGACCAAACTTGACAGGCAAAACGTCCCTCGCCGACTTCACTCTTCCCTCTAGCATCCGAGCTGCAACAAAGCCAACAGCACTTTTAGAAAACAAACACAATCTTCGAACACAGATCAAGTAGGGATTACCATCAAGGAAATATCCATTGTACTTTAAGATAAAAACTCTATAAAATGTCACTATAGTAACAGAAAGTACACTCGCCGACCAATTTTTCGGATGCCGATAATTTAGACTTTTTCTATATTTCGGACTTAAAGGAGGAACCGTGACCTACCCGATAGAAATAGTGCATACTCACAACCAATGTTTCAGACAGCTTGAAGTCCGAAAGTTCGATTTTTCGGACAAAATCGTCACGAGCGTTCAGCGGGAAACACCACCGAGAAGCGGCCATTTTGGATTCTACGCTGGCTGCACGTGGATTGGCTTGGTTTGGCAGTGCTATTTGAATACTGCTAAGTCTTACCGCTATGTGACGCTTTATGGCCTTTTTTTCCTCTAGCTGCATGTCATTATCATAGTCATGGTTGTTACCATTTTGCTTTGCTCATTCGCCATCGCAGTCAGGGACTTGCATCTCTCATCTCAATCTCGTATCGGTGAATCATGTTTTTGAACTACGCTGGCTTGGATGTCATTGCCCCATCTATTTTTCCACCGCCACGATATGTGGCTAAGAAGTGCAGAAAGTATTCAACCGTAACGCTAGAAAAGAAGGCAGTGATTTTTTAGCTAATAAAAGGTTGCCGAACGCAAACAGAGGCGTAGCATGAAACAAGGCGTGCAGGCGTAAGCTGAAACAAGGCACTATTGACGGCTTTTTTTTAAGCCCACTTAGACGTAATAAAGGCAAGTTTTTTAATCTGTCGAGTTTTCGGAATGCTTTATTATTCTGACATTTTTGCGGTCCCTGTGGAGTCCAAAAAATCGGTCGGCAACCGTATTGGGTGTATGTGTGCTTTGCAGGAAGGTGAATGCACAAAACTTGCTCACACATGGCACATCCATTTTGAGTAAATCTGGTATACGTGTCACATCTGCTAGGAGTGTTAGCTGTTTGGTCGTCTAGGGGCACAAGGCGCTAGTGACTCTGGAGGAAATATTGGTGCTGCTCGATCGGGTAACAGAAACAACTGGCACCATTTTGAGTTATTGCGCGGTCTCCAGGTAACAATTAGGTTTATACATATTTCCAGAGTCCGAGGAGATTCCTAAAGTGGGGCTTTTGGGGACCACCACATGTTGCACAAATTAAGACTAGAAATCAGCGACTACCGTATTTTCCTGTGTATAAGACACACTTTTTTTCCAAAATTTTCAGCAGTGCGTCTTATACACTGGTGCGTCTTAGTATATAACTTTTACTTAGAAACTTGCGAAAAATGGGGGTGCGCCTTATACACCAGAAAATATGGTATACCTCCTGTAGCACTGCCAGAGATGTATGCCGTCCAACACGAATAAGTGCTGAGGCGGCAGAAGTCATTGTTGCTGGTGTTGGGAACTTACTCGTGTAACATACTGCACACGGCAAGAGCCAAAGCAGTCTGCTAAAACTTTCCAATAACTCTCGTGAAGGCAGAGGGCCAAACACAGCATCTGCTGCAGAAGTGACCTCACACTCTGCCAACACAAAAAGTCAGCTTGCACACGGGCTTCATGGTGTTTCCTTTTCTCGCCCGGGCACAGCCGAAAATTGTTTTTTGCACCCCTTCCGCACGGAGATTTTCGAGTGCTTGTGCACTCGAAAATCTTTGCGCGGAAGGGGTGTGAAAAACCCCAATTCCCCTTTGCTGTCCTAGGAAAGATCAGCAAAGGCCACCCACCGAAGGCCAGCACAGGACACAGGTTGGATGCTGGGTTGGCACTTGGCCAGGACAATGTGTCCAATCGGCAAAAACACGAGTCCCGGCAGAACGCTAACGCAGTCCTCGTGTCCAATGTTCACACGAGCCTTCTGCCAGCATCTTTGAAAATCGAGGTGACCTCGAAAATCAAGTGGAAAGGTGTAGGAGGTGCTCTTTTGGACTTCCCACGACGACCCAAGAGTTTCCCCCTTTTGAAAAAGGCCCGCCTCCTCACCTCACTTGCTGCCGTCGGCTGTGGTGCCCTGCTTCCCCTTCCTCCAGCCCCTGTGGACCGGAATGAGCGAGCGGCGAGTCTGGGGTGCCTGCCGGTTGCTGCTGGGGGGACCGGCACCGCCCTGCGGGAGGTTGGGGCTCGGGGTGCGAGAGTCCGGGGTGCGAGGCCGCAGCTGGCGCCGGTTGCCTTCCGCGGCCGACGCGCCCTTCTTGGTCGCCCCGCCGCTCTGCTGTTGGCCCGCCCTGTGCATCTGAAAGGGGACGGGCGAATGAGCGGGAGTCAGGGCGAGGAACACTGCACATGACACGCGAGCGTAGCAAGTGGCTTGCGGAACAGCCCAACTACAATTACGGTTCCGTGCCTTGGCATACCAGGTATTTCAACAAAGACTTTAGAAAATTCCTACCAATGGGAAAACACAGACAACATTTTTATTGTTCACGTTTTTGCGTCGCCAACCTCGTGCCTGCTGCACGAGTGGTAACTTCAGTGCAACCCCACGCTTTACGCTTGCTTTAAGTATTCCTAAAATTCCCCGATAGAAGGGTTTTAGATGTCGCTCGGCAAGTTTCTAATTGGTACCGCGTCTACTTTCGCTAATTAAAAAGTTGGCAAGTTTTAGTCAATTTTTAACTACTCGACGCGTTTCTTGTAGTGGTGTGCGAATATTCTAATATACGAATTCGAATCGAATAACAAGTTTCCGAATAATTCGATTTGCGAATCGAATTCCTAGTTGGTTGCTCGAATATTCAATATATTCGGCCAAAGATGCGCGGTCGGTGCAGAGCTGACAAAAGAGTCTTTTTTTCTCTCAATGTTAGCACCGTGATGTTAGACAGACCATGCGAGAAACACCACTTGGTCCTATCATTCCACAAAAATCTAACAGGCAGGTTAGAAAGAAGAAAAGTAACAAACACCACAAACTTTATAGCACGCAGATTTACTCATGATCGTGACACAAACTAACCTTGAATCATAACCGAAACATCCCGTTTGCGCCGCTTCCAGAGACAAATTGTTGGGAGGCCGAAATTCCAAGCCATGCCTAATTCTTTTCACGAGTAAAGCCCCTTGTTTTAAATTGAAGCTCCGATGTAGAACACACTTGTCACACTCACAGAAATTGGCGACTGGAAGATCACAAAAAGAAAACCACGTTAACCACGCCGATGAAACCAGCCGAGCTGTCGTTGTCATTCTTTTCGAACGGCAAGCCGCAAATTCTGATTCGGAACGAAACAGAACGGAAAAATTGTGTGCCTACATTTTAGAATGTTTCCGACCATTCGATAGCCGTGTTTGAATTACGAATTGCGAGAAGGTGATGAAAAGACGAAAGTAAGTATTTGACGAAAGCGTTGATCAGGCAGGCGTCGTCGCTCTTTCGTTTGCTCACCTTCTCTCCACGCGACGACACAACAGATGCGCACTTACGACCAATATGTGCAGGAGCCATCTCGGGGGTTTCAGTTTCGTTTGCTCCCTCTTTTAAATCTAGGCTCTCTAAAACTAGATAAATGGACGGAAGAATGGATGTATAGCAGCAGTTGGACGGTAACTTGCGCCACCTAACCACGTTTTTTTTCTTATTTCAGATTATATTGTTTAAGCCTGTTTACTCAGATTTAGCAGCTATCTGTTTATTTATATAAAATAAAATCCCGGGTGCCCTTTTCCTACCTTAAAATTGAGACCAAATATTGCAAAATGCCCATTTTTGAGACAGGCACGTAGCCACGAGTTTGTTTCGGGGGGGGCCAACCCATGACAAAATGCTGTATGTGGGGGAGGGGGGGAGAGGAGGTCCCAGCAAAAGAATATGTTTTTTTCTGGATGGGGGGGGGGGGGGGGGGGCTTGGGCTTCTTGGTTGCCGCCGCATCAAAAATTGGTGAAAAAAAAAATGTTTGCACAGTCGACAGGATTCGAACCTGTGCGGGGAGACCCCACTGGATTTCTAGTCCATCGCCTTAACCACTCGGCCACGACCGCGGGACGAGTAGGGGGCTCTGAGATGTGGCAGTAACTCAAGAGCTGGGGATGCCATGGATGAAACGTTGCATGGGGGCGCTCAACGGCTATAGACCTTTTCATTTCAGTAGTTGCCTGACCGGCGGGGAGAGGGCGCTGGCGCACTCGCCGCCATTAGGTTGCTTCAATTTGGACGGTTTCGGTTTCAACGTGCACGCGATTGTGACGCTGTTTCATGCCCCTTTCGATTAATTTTGCGATATAAAGTTCTTTCTTGTCGCACACAGCGAATGAAGCAATAGTATTGAACCACTTGGCAAACCACAAAGTGGTTTCGAGCCTAAATTGCGATCTTTCTTGACGAACACTATATGCGTCTGATTCCGTCCATCGTTAATTTCGGCCAGGTTTGGCGGTGAAACAACTGCGCTGATGCACAGGGAGGAGTACCATAGTCCACGGCCGTTCCTGCGGACACTAATTTCCACAAAAACAAAATGAAAAATAAAGAGCAGGGCAAGGCTCCGCCTGCAGCGTGCGCTCGTTGCCTGCAGCCGTGATTTGGCTGTGCGTGCACCGAGCGGTACGGAAGGTAGGTAGCTCGCGCTCAAGTCAGATATTGAACTGATCATCTTATATTGCAACAGACTATATTGCATGAGTGCTTAGTGAAAAAGCAGGTCGACAACATGATTAACAATCTGCTGAATCACCAAAAACAGATGAACTGACAAGTTTACTGTTCGATGTTTGGTTTCCGTACACCAACCTTTTCTAACTTCGAGACTAGAAACGTCTTTTATAATGACCAGAAACGTTTCATATAATCACGTAGATAATATAAAAAAGTGATATTGTCCCTGTCTGTTTTATTTAAAGAAATTAAGCGCTCGAGAAATATTTTGAAAGACCAGCCTAGGCTGACTAGAAAATTTCTTTAACTAAAGTATTCATTAACAGCATTTCAAAATATTGGCCTTATGAAATAGACTTTTTGTTATATGGACATCTGCTTACGACGTTCTGAAGTATGAGAATGGTGAGATGAGTGAACGCCAGACTTCAAATAAAGTCTGATATACATCTTCCATAAAATATGCCGAATGAAATTGAAGAGCGCAAAAGAAATGATCTCCAATAAGCTTGGCTGAAGTCGAACGCCAATCTCCACCGAACGGACGAAAGCTATTCACTGATTTGAAACTATGCGCTTTGCGCATTTTGACCTCGCCAGCTACTGAAAGTAACTCCCTATTCGCCGTCGACAATCGGCTGCACTCAGGTGATTTTCATGCAGAAAGATTCTTCTCGGCGTCACATTTTGTGAATCATAGGCACTATCAAGCTCTCTGTGGCCGTATCTTACGCGGGATGTCCAGATATTTGTGTTGAAATAAATTAATTGCAACTGCATGGTTATATTTAAAAAAAAAATGACTGAAGCAACTGAAAGATTATGGACATGGGACCAAGCAGGATATACAATTTCGTAAAGCTCATAAATAAACCGATAAAGCGAATGCTTATATCACACACGCGATTAAGAACGTAAAACAGATATAGGTGTGATGTTGCGAACAAACAAGTTCCCTAATGTTCAGGTACCATTATTTCTAGCATAAAAAGTAATTCAAACAAAACGTCTTGTCAAAAGAAACTGTTTTCGATCTGTTGTAACATACAAAGCACCATGCTTTCAGGAAAAACACGTGGCTAATTACGCAAAGTGTTTTTCTCTCCTCCCTTGACACCGATGCGCACTCATATATATATAATAACATGGGGCTTCCTATCGCAAATGTTCAATGTGCGCAAGTGCTAACGCTGATTCCTGTTCCCATAAAGCCTTCTCACACGTATCCCGCACGCCGATGGTAAAAAAAAATATTCAAAACGTGTTACAAAATTAACTATAAAAGTTGCGCGCTCAATGATGTAATGCAATTGCATTGTAAGTATAAGTGTCGGACGACACTTTACGGAGCAAGGCAAGAGACGCGGTGAAACGCGACGAAAAACACGAGTTCAACGCATCCGCCAAGGCGCGGGCGGGAGAGCGGAGCAACAAGTTGAAGCAACCTAATGGCGGCCGCATCACGTGATTCCAAGATGGCAGCGCCCATGCGGAGGAGGGTGAAAAGGTCTATACAGGAGAGGGCACTGCGGTCAAATGCGCATATAATCGCATTAAACTTTGCATGCATTGGCTCAACGTTTAGCAGACAAGAGGGTGCTGCGGTCAAATGCTCAAATGCTTATATTACCACGTTCCATACCACACATTCTCTTTCTGACATGAATGAAAACGAACGAAAAGCTCGGCATGCTGCGGCTCAGCGTCTACGCAGACAAGCACCACCAGAGCTTCGCCCCAATCAACATCATTCACCACGTGGAGATGCGGTCAATGTTTTTATGATGCATAGGGTATATAGATTACCGTAAAATCCCGTAAGGACGCCCACCTAAAATGAAGAGATAAATGGTGAAAACATGGGGTGGGCTATCTTTGGGGATGCCACAGCAAAACTTTATCAAAAGTTGATGATAAGCACCAGGGCACCCCCTACAAACCACGTGACGCGGGAACTGATACCGCAGATCGAAGACACGACAAATTCGCGTTTCACGATGCGATAAATCTGCGGGAATTCGCAACAATTTTACAATTTAGCATTACGGAGAATTATAAAGGTCTTTAATTTCTTTGTTCTGCAACACAACGAAAATAAAACCTTACTGAATTGGCACCCCTCCGAAGTTAGCATGCTCAACCCCGCTCTCCCTCCATTTGTTTGACAACGTGCTAACTTGCTGCCAGGTAATGATTGCGACGTGCTTTCGAAAAGCAAAAAAGGCAACGGGTCTCAACGTGTTTTCTTTTTATGATTTCTGCACGCTCCGTCGTTCACTCGCCCTTAAATAACGACGTGTTGTACCCCAAAAAAGTAAACCACCTTACAAAAATATTGTTATGCTATACTACTCCGTTTCACGTTAAATCCGATTGCAGCCAATTGTAGCCAGCCGATTACAGCTGATGAACCCAATCGAGCAGCGTGAAAAGTATCTCGTTGTGGAGCACGAAAAAAGCGTGATTTCGCGCTTTTTCTCTGCGCACAACAGGTTGAGCCGGCGACGGCGAATTAACAAGGAGGATAAGCGCTACGTTTTTTGGTGTTTCTTGATTGGCTTCGTTGGATTGCAGCGTTGACTGCGGCCCGACCCGACATGAAACAGAGTGTGGTGGCGGCTCGACCAGATGGGATCATTACCGTTTTGGTGGGCGACGGCAGCTTGGTGGGCGAAGTGATCTTGGTAGGCTTGGGGCTGTCGGCAACGCTGGCTGCTTCCCCTGAGGCCACGTGGGACATCTGCTCCCAGTGATTGCGCAGTTGCTGAAAGCGCTGTACCTCCTCTTCGGTGCCTTGGACTGCCGGACACAAGAGGGAGAGAATGCCCTCAGCAGCACTTCACAAATGCAATACTAAACTGGACACGGCAACCACAAGCATGAAGTTGAGGCTACTCGTCTCTTTTCCAGGCATGTTCGGCAGAAATTAGGGGACACCGACAGGTGAAGTCGTGGAGACACTGCTAACAACCTTAGAAAATTCCTTAAGTGGAAAGAAAATCATGAGTACAACATGGGCTTGCATTACCCATGAAACTGCAGAAAAACAATTTCAATATTTGCAAAGCAATATTATATCATTTTACTGCTCCGAGATACCAGCAAGTGCTCGCACATTAGAATGATGTAGATGGCATTGTTTCTAAGGGTGCCAAACTCTCCACATCATATTTTGTCTTTCTCTCTCTCTCTCTTATACATTAAAGTTGAAATACAAAAGTGAATTTCAGTCGACAACATGGTGACTTAATGGTGATGCATTGTGTTAATTAAATGGATACTAAATCAAAACTTAACATATACAAAAAATACATTAGGAAATCAGTCAAATAGGAACAGCTGACCCTGCAAATGATAATCACATGCTTGTATTTTTGAGTAGATGGCTATATTTTTCGTTTTAACCGAGTGCTTCAAAATCGGCCATTGAAGAACGCGATGCATCCCGGGAGATCCGACACGCCCTTGACGTCGTCGTGTCATGCAGGGCCAAGCATTACCATAGTTACGAGCTTTGCCACTTGGAGGCATCAACGCACTGCAATCTCGTATAGTCAAAGTACCCAGAGGGCTGCAGCACATCACACAGGGATCGCGGACCCGGCGGAGCTGCCTCGTGCATGTGATGGTCGACCAACGCGACGAATGGAGGGTATGATGACATTAATGAGGACGGAGACGCTGCCACATCACTAGTGACCATGATGGTCGAGAGGCGAGTCAGCTTAGAGCCGTACAATGGAAACCCTATTATACGACTCTTGTGGGACAGCGCGAAATCGTCGTATAATCCGCGAGTCGCCGTCATCAAGGTGTCCCAGCTAACATCTGCCGAAGCTTTCGCGGACTATTACGCTGGACTGTCAACACACGTATGCCGTTTCCATTTTCGCCACCTGACAGCTGCCAGAATTTTGGCAGCTGGGCAGCAAACAGCACGACGTTATCGGTTGGAAATCGAGAAAGTGCAAACAAGGACGCAGTAAACAGCCTCTGTTGCAGGTTAAGAAACCCGGGCAAGCTCCTCCCGCACATCTCTTCACTCTTTTCACTGCAGCAGAGTGAATGCTGGAGAGGTGAGAGAGGAGGAGAGTTCACTTGAATCTTCAGCATCCACTCTGCTAGAATGGAAAGAGTGGACGGCTTTGCGGGACAGCTTGCCCCGCTTCGCTGAAGCCCCAAACACACGAGCAATGAACACGGGCGTCGCACGGCAGTTCCCATAGCAACTACCCCGAATGATGCAAAATGGCGGCATGGTTTGCGGAGCAAAGGTGTCAGTTTCTCATACAGGGGTTGCGATGATGTCAGAATGCCGAGCTCTTATTGGCTGTTTGAAAAACAAATAGTCAATAGACCTCGAGGCATCCAGCATTGAGGTCTACCCACTATCCTTTCAATCAAAGCCAATCAGAGCTCGGCGTCATTCTGACGTCACCATAACTCTCGCGCAAGCAGCGGACAACTTGCTCTCCACATAGGTCTACATATCAGCGTCTGTGGCAGTTGCTGTGGTAACCGCCGCACAACGTTCATTTTCGTTACTCGCGAGTTTGGGGGTTTTGCCTGCAATGGGGCAGCATGCCGTCGTCCCTCCCCCAGCCAAGGTCCGCTCCCTGGACACTCACTTTTCTGCATGGCAGGGTAGAGGACCTTCGCGCCGTCCATCGGGGACGCACCACCTTTCAGCTTCCTCTGCAGCTCAAGGACGCGTGACGAGTTGTCCAGGGTCTCCTCCAAGGACGAGGAGTCCACCAGGCTCTGGCAGGTGGCCGTGCGCAGGTCATCGCTGTCCTCTCCGGGGCTCTCACCGTAGTTTGTCGCGGGGGGACAAGCGCAGGGGGAGCGGGCGGGAAACGGGGCGGCAGGGTGGCGCTTCAGGCTCTGGGCTTCGGCGGCCAGGGCGAAGCTCAGGCTAAAGCTGAATGGGAGCTCCGAGAGGGAGCGCAGGCTGCATGCCAGCTCCTCCCGCAGGAAGAACAGGCTCGGGTGCGACAGGAGGGCCACGAAAGCCGCGGACGTCTGGTAGTGCTTTTGCAGGATCTGGGGGCTCGACAGCAACGTCAGGAACCAAGTGTCCAGGCAGCCCAGGCTGGGGGGAGCAAGGGGAATGCATACCCCTTTAGGAACTGTTGTCCAAACTCTCGCGTCAATGAGCGTGAGCGAAATTTGCGAGACAAAATGAAGCACATCCAAACTCCTACTGTGTCGAGACGAAAGAAGCAAGAGCCAGATCCTAGCTTGGGAAAACACTTTCGCAAGGATCTCTCGTGTTCTTGTAAGTCGTGCTTTCAAACATAAATACTTCACAATTGCAGTTAAAAAAGCTAGGGTCTCCGAGTCAGTCTCAAAACTCATTCTCGTGATTCAGATGTCGCTTCTCGATTTCTCCCATTAATGGATAAACTGAAAATCTGGGGTAAATGTAACGTGAAAAGGAGCATTCTGAAAAACCTCAGACTGAGAACAAACATTTCGTCAGTCTCGGGCTTCCCAGGAAGCTTCTGGTTCTCCCCACCAGCTTCTACAACATTCATGCTTCGAGGTAATTTAATAACCGGTAGTTTTCCCAAAATCCTGGAAATGTGGGTTAGAAGCCTGCCTTTTAATAAATAAACTTGCAATGTTTAACCCATCTATGAATGTACACTGCAATTAACTTAAAACTATAACGAGAAAACCTAAAGAAATTGTTGTATCTGGACTAGAAACTGGGCATTTCTAGTTTAGAAACTCTAAAAACTGATCATTATAAGAAGTACATTGTTATTTGTGATATTATTATAAAAGGATTGCACAGTACTACATTAACTGGGCAGAACACTTCTTGCACGTGCTGCAACACCATGATGAATGCCACATATGAGTAAAGTATGTAGATGCACTTAATTGCTTAAAAAACCCTGAAAAGAAAAAAAAGTTTTTTTTAAAACAATCTCGTACGCGTGTCAAAAAACTAATTTTACGCGAAAAAAAGCTTTTTTTCTTTTTAGAACAATATTGACAGCGAGATTTTGTTTTAAATCCTGCGCACAAAGTCCATGACGTCACGGTATGACGTCACGGTATGGTCATTCGCTTTTTCGATCTCAACGAGATGGTCATTTACTCTTTCCACCTCAATGTGAGCGCCAAACCGATCCACCTCTCCTCCACGCGCCAAAAGTGCTGAGAGAAAAAAAGTGGAACAGAAGTGACTACCGACTAAATTGCATCTCGCGCCGTATATATTGCTCTAAAAAATTTTTTTTCTGCGTTAAGTTTTTTTTTTTTTTTTTTTTTTTACATGCGTGTCCCAGTCAAACTGTTTAAATTTTTTTTTTTTTTTTGGGGGGGGGGGGGGGGGGGGGTTTAAAGGGACATTTACAGTGTATTTATGCACGACAAGGTTTTTGATTTGTGCATGACATATGAGAGCCCAACTACCCAGAACACAATTTGTGGCTCGAAATTTGGTTTCTTTCCTCCCAAAAATTGCCCATCGAGAACTGGCTGCTTTGAGTCACGCTCACTCTCTTCTCCATGGTCACGAGCCGTTTTCAATGGTTTAGACCCAACCACCAAATATAATCTAAGTCGTGGGTCATCGAAAACACACACTCAATATTAATATTAGAAAAGAAATATGATACCCATTTTTTGTGGCTTCTAAAAAGGTGCAAATATGTTGATTGAAAAAAAAAAAAAGTTGTACAGCCACGTTACCTCCGCCCAGGGCCGTAACCAGGGGGGGGGGTTAGGGGGTTCTGACCCCCCCCCGAAATTTTTTTCTGGGTACGGCCCTGGTCGGTGCACTTGCAGCCAGCCGATTTTAATCTCCACCTCTGCGCACGCGCAGTGGCACCGGTCGGCTACCGGGTACCAAACCGGGACCGGTTTTCCGGTTTGCTGCAACTCTCCATTATATGCCACCGATGCACATGATTCATAGGCGAAAATAAGACAATAGACACTTTCAAAATGGCCGCCGTTGTCCCCAAAAACCCCCCCCGAAATTTTTTTCTGGGTACGGCCCTGCCTCCGCCAACTTTCTCTTCCTCTATATTTCTTCTTCCTCCCCAGTTCAGTTTTGATTTCGAGCAGTTGCATTTTTTTACTTTATTAAAAATATATTAGCAAAATATTGATTGGGTAGTCTTCTGACACCATGGTGAATCGCCTGGCAAAAAATAAGACAAAAAGTTTGGGGGGTGTCAGTGTCCCTAAGATTTCACTACAGCTGAGGCTGTCATATCAGTTCAAAAGTTATACGAGCAAATGGTGTCAAATGTATTTGCATAGATGTTGTGCGACATATGGTGTCTGGCATCAAATTCCCAGAGTTGAGAAACGAGATGATAGATCAGGGGTGGCCCAGCTGATTCGGCCTAAGAGCTGCGAACAAAACCACGAAACCTCCAAGAGCCGCCTCAAAGAGGAAGGGAAGAAGAAGTAGGAGGGGGGAAGGGGGGGGGCAAACTTTTGTCCACAGAAATAAACGAAACTTGAACTACTTTCGATCGATCCAAGTCAAAAGTAGTCCAACTGTACGTAGGGTAGCAGTACCACAAGACAACCAAACTGCAACCTGTCTTTCGATATAAAACGCATTCCATTTCTCTTTTCGGGGAAGTGCTTGTGTGACCGGGAGGGGAGGGGGAAGGGGGGGGGGGGGGGGGGGGGCAGGTTTACAAGGGAGCCGCGAACCATACTTTAGCACGCAAAGAGCCGCAGCTTGGCCACCCCTATGATAGATCATAGCCTCCTTTATACTGAGAATGCCTGCCCAATGGTTTCTTTGTCGTCATCGCGCCTACTTCACATATTTGCTACTAGGGGCGCCCAAACCCCATACAGAAAAGCAGACGACGTTTGTCCGCTGTCTGCTAGTACAGTTCACTGTAGCTAGCCTAAGCTACGTTAAGCTATGTGATGACGTACGTTTTCCGTGCTAGGTGACGCGGTAACGTGACCTTACGTGTTCAAATAGGTCATGTGATCATGTAATGTTTTCGTGACACGAGTAACTTCTTTCGGTCGTAATTCGACTTGCAGAGCTCTAGAGCGCTTAGCCATAGCCAATAGCTCAATAGCACGAGGCTGTCTGCGGCTCCTGGCACGCGCACCGTGAAGTTACACGGTGTGCGTGTGGCGTCACGTAGTAGTAGGTGGATATTTGGCAAGGGTGGTGAAGGAACGTGTCAACTGCTGCGACTGCTTTCTACTGGTCATTAAGCACGCTTCTAGGCTCACAATGATTCCCTCATCAGGCACCAGGACAAGGGAGAACTATATTATACATCAGAGAAGCTAGTGAGGGTGCTGCATGCGCTGAAGAACTTCGTAGAGGTTTTACTAAAAAACTAAATATGCTGAAAAAGCCTTTGCATGCAGCTGTTGAGACTGCGGTAGATACACTTATGCTCCATGGGGCTCTGAAATGCGCAAAGGCAGATAAAGATGTCAACGATTACAAAGATTTCCTGCAAATTCTGTGTACTAAGTATTTCAGGCCAAATTTCACAAACTACTCTGCATCCGTGAATCACAAGCATGACCTCAAGAAGATCTTCAACAAGCCACTATCTAAGAAATTGTTAAAGATCTTGAACTGCATTCGTGAAAAACAGTGCGGACCAGAAGAAACCGGTCAAAAACATATAAAAAAAACTCTGAGCTTAAAAAAAAATTTAAAAAAAAATTTTAAATGTATTTTAAGATTTTTGTCAAAGCGTTGCCGACGGGTGCGCAGGATTTCGGTTAGCGAAGGCTTGTTCGCGGTCCTGAGAAAAATCCCTTGACTGCCGCATGTAGTCCGCGGGCCATATGTTTTCTGGCTCCAGCTCCAGAAGCAATAAAAACGCTAAGTGGTTGCTGTTGAAACGTCATGAACGTTGGCCAGCCTGTCTGTTTCCTTTTTATTTTGGATTGACTATTACTGTGGCAAGCACCAGAGGTCTGGTAACATTTCAGCATAAAAACAAAACCAAGAAGTGAAAGCTAAAAGAAAGGTTGACTTTTTTAATATATGTAAATCATACTGACGGTGCCCTGCGCTAGCTATGTAGCACGGGTTACGAATGTATTCAATTCACAAATGGTGTCACAGTGGACTGTAGCAGCGGGCAGCGGAAAAGCGTCGTCTGCATTTTTGTATGGGGTTTTGGCGCCTCTAGTAGCAAATATGTGAAGCAGGCGCAACGACGACGAAGCATGGGGAAGCCAACCATTGGGCAGGCATTATCAGTATAAAGGAGGCTATGGATAGATGTATACAACACGATTCACCAAGACTACTGTTTATACCTTTAAAGGGATACTTCGACGAAATTTGAAATATTCCCGTTGTGTTCAAAAATAGGTTGAATATGATCCACAATATCCGTAAATGACAATCGCATGTTTGTATTTTGAGCCCGGTGGCTGTATTTTTCGTTATAAACGGCCCACTCTGGCAAGCGCTCGGAGAAGGCCCAGCTTAGAGCACGTGACACCCAACGCAATCGTGACGTAGGTCGTCTCAAGACGAGCAAAGCTACGGCGAGGCTGACGTCGAGAGGATGGCCTAGTCGTTCCAGCCACCGAAGCGGCTGCTTTTGTACGAATTTTGAGTGACGGGTTAATCTTCTATAATCTTCTAGGGGGACAATAGCGACTTCTGCGACATACAAAAGGGATTCTCGGGAAGAGGGGAGTCCCTCCTTCCCCCCTTCTCTCGTCGTGGCCAGAGACAAGACAACCTCCGTCACTAGCTGTCAAGGTTCCTAGACGAGCATTACAAACGAGGCGTAAGCGACATCCACCAGGTGCTCTTTGCTAATCGTTTAATTCGTTTTAAAATTCCCTTTCGAGACTTTTTCTAACAAGATATTGGCATGTTCCATGTGATACTGCTCTTTTGAACACATATAGACCGAAAAATGAGCGCCGAAATTTCGTTGTAGTATCCCTTTAAGGTGTATTATGTTTACTGGAGTTGCAAAGTTAACGAGTAAGGTTGACACATTTAATTTGCTGCACAGCATGCAAATAGCCAATCATCCCAATCTATAAAACAAGCATTGCACAGTGATAGGAAACACAAAACTTTTGCCCCCAGAAATGCAATCCGCACTGGATTCCGGACACATGAAATGTCACACTTAGAGGAAAAGAACTAATAGCATTTTTGCATAATAATTTGCCTCATCATTTGTTTGCCTCTTTTCTAAGATCGCACTAATTACCCATCAATACGCTTTGGGAAAAAGTGCCTCCTCCGTAAAAAGTATGGCTAACGCGCAAGTAAACTTGGTACCCAGGAAGTTCATAGACTCCGAGAAAGGACGTACTTGAGTAGGCCAAGCAAGCAGGCGCTGAACTTCTCTCCGTCGGCACAGAAGTTGTCCGTCTGCCCAATGTATTCCACCAGCTCTTGCATCTCTTTGCGTCCCTCTTCTGCAAAGGAGAGCAGCAACAAGGCGGGTAACATCAAATCATGTCCGAAGAGATCCCACCCAAAGCGAGACTCTTCACGTAACACGGCTGCATGTTGTATTCTAGCTCATAGATAGGATTCCATAATTTCGATATAGAATCCCCGAAAAGCGACCCCCAAGACAGTTTAATTGAAATCTGGGATAACCGAAAAAACCCCACTTGGAGCCGTCCTTGAATACGAAAAACCCATGTCTCGCGGAAAGAAATCTTCATCTACAGCTTCATTTTTTGTCCACCGGAAACGCAGCCTGAAGTGAACTGTCTGCGAGACTGTTTTCTTCTCTGAAAACTGCACTGCTTGTCTTGCTTCCTTCTCTTATCGGTAGAGGGATGTTTTCCAAGTATTTGGGCCAAGTGCATGTTCCCTGAAGATTGGGAAACGCCACACTTCTTTTTTTCAACCTAACCCAGATAAACGCCTATTTTTGTTGTCTAACACCGAAAAGAGACACTGGAAAACACTGAATCTGTGGAAAGACATAAACCCCGATAAAACAAACCCGATTTCAAAGAAGATTAAATGCCAAAAACAGAGATAACACAAAACATACCCACCCCACAAGACACTTTTTGCGATTATAATATTAAAGGAACACTGAGAGGGTATTTAATACGCCTCGCAAGTGGGCTCATTTTCGTCTTCTGCGCATGAGAAAGGAAGTAGCTGTGACGTCAGAACGCCGAGCCCTGATTGGCTGATCGCGACCCCCTATCTGAGCGTCGTCTGCTCCTTTGCAACGTCGTCTGCTCGCAACGTCGTCTGTGTCTGTCTTACCTTTCCTGCGACTTTCGGAAGTGCACTCGAGCGAGCTCGACTTCGCCTTTCAGAGAGGGCAGACGAAATAACTCGAGCGGTACATTGTTTTTGTCTAACAACTAGCAGGCGTGCATCAAGGAGAGAACTCGAAAAACTCACTGGCGAGGTGTCCCGAGGCGCCGAGGTTTGTTTGCTAAGAACCGAGAGGGTGAGCGTGTTAGTGTCCGCAAGTTTCCTCCCAAATACTTTCTCCCTCCTTTCCTGTGCGGTGAGACCCCTCATTCTTTAACGCCGTCGACCGGTTGGCGCAGTTAACGTCGTCTGCTTTACGTCTGCTAGTCAAAGCGATGGCTGGTTTACCTTTCCTGCGTCTGTCGGAGATTCACCGCTTTTTCACCAGCGAGAGTCACCGTTGCCTCGGGAAGCAAGGAGATAAGAAGAGGAAAAAAATGACCTCTTAATTTAAAATTGAGGTCAGCGATCAAAGTATAATACGGGAAGGGTTCACAAGGGTCGCGCGGGCTTATTCCATTCAGCACGCCAGCCGGTCGTGGGCAGACAGTCGCCGAGTCGCGGAGTGCCTGCTAGGCCTAACTGCAAAGGTCGCTTGGTCGCGTTCGGTGGAACCGTGGACGTTGGAGCTTTTCCCAGGTGTATGTGGATCCAGCGTTCTTGTTCTTCGTGGTGTGTTTCAAGTACTTTTTACTTTTTTCTTGCTGTTTGAAGTTGGGACGCGTGAGAAGCGCACGTAGAAAAATAAACGACCGCTGGTCGTCGCGACCATGACGCTGTCGGCCATGCTGATTTGATCATAAGAAGTGCGTAAGACAGCTTCGGAGCTGTCGTAGGATTTCAGCATAACCTGCGCAAAACTTACGAAAATTTCGTTTCGTGAATACGAATTTGTTCTTAAGTTTTGTCTTACGCACATTTTTGCCGTAAGATCGTTTCGTGAATCTGGCCTCTGCAGTTCCGAAAGCAGCAGGAAAGGTAAGACTGACGCAGACGACGTTGAAAAGGAGCAGACGACGCTCAGATAGGGGGTCGCGATCAGCCAATCAGGGCTCGGCGTTCTGACGTCACCGCTACCCCCTGCGCAAGAAGCAGACGAACTTGCCCTCCGCATACTATTTATGCTTGCCAAGGTTTTTATTTGTAAATGACATATGAAAGCCCAACTACCCAGAACACAATTTGCGGCTTGAAATTAGTTTTCTTTACACCTGAAAACTACAGATCGAGAACTGGCCGGTTTGAGTCGCGCTCACTCTCTTTTCCGTGGTCATGCGCCATTTTCTATGGTTTAGACACAACCACCAAATATAATCGAAGTTATGGGTCATTGAAGGCACACACTCAATAATAAAAATAGAAAAAGAAATATGATACCCATTTTTTCTAACTTGCAAATACGTTGACTGAAAAAAAAAAAAAAGAGTCGCTTAGTTATATGATTTTTGGCCAACGCTCTCCTCTATATCTCTTCTTACTCCCCAGTCCAGTGTTGGTTTCGGTTTCGAGCAATTGCGTTTTTTTTACTTTATTGAAAATATATGCAACACTGTAGCCAAGTAATAATTGGGTGGTCTTCTGACACCAATATTAATCGCCTGGTAAAAAATAAAAAAACATTTTTTGGGGGGTGTTACTGTCCCTTAAGACCCCTAAACAACATCTGCGCAGCTCGTCAAATTTATGAATGCGCACCCGACAGAGCCATTAGGGAATGTCGTATTTAGGCGTTTCCAACGCGAGCCCAGTTATTATTCCCAAGAGTAATGCTTCTAATGTGCATCAGATTTCGGTTTGGTATACAAATCTAACGCAGAGGCAGTTTCTAGGTATATTTTTTTCACAAAATCTGTACGTTAGAATCGGTTAAAGGCTGACATACACCATATCCTTTACTCTTTTCAATGCTCTCTCCTTTCCCACGTCCTCTCCACCTTTCAACTTGCCTCAACACGGCTCCCCTCGCAGTTATGAAAAGGAAGGTGCCAAGAGGTTCATCTTCATTCGAAAAAAATCTAGGTTTCTACGTCGGCCTTGAAGTATGGCCCTTTTATCTCCTTTCCCACCCGGCACGCGCAAACGAAGACGCCAAAGCGTAACGGCCGGACATAGCAGCAACGCAATGCTGAGAGACTGTCAAGGAACGGCCAGAGAGCGAAGACGGGGACGGCCCGGGAAGCAAGCGACCCTGGCCCGGGCGCACTCACTGGTCTGGCTGAGGGAGTGGGCCAGGTGCCAGAGGGAGTTGGGCAGGCGGCCGAACACACCCCTCACGTGGGGCAACAGCCCATCCGAGAGGAGCTCCCGCAGGGTGGGCACCAGGCACTCCGTGGCCAGGCGTCCGCAAGCACTTTGCTCCGTCAGGCACGGCTCCGGGGCACCCACGTATGGCTGGTGAGGGAAAGCAGGGACGCGCGTTGAGCTTGAGGTTGCATGGCGTATTCGGGTGTCGCTTGATATGCCGCACGTAAGGGCTACTTCGCACGTGTGCGCTTGACTGCGAGTGCATGTCACAATCTCTCGTAAATACTTACAACAAGAGGACATGCCATGGATCAATGGAATGCACTGGCATACTAACGCCATCCGCTAAGTATCCCTCAAACTGCGTGCTACTACAATAAATTGGTGTTCGCGTTTAAACGGCTCAAGGTCAGTCTGCCTTTGAGGTATGGCGACATAGATTTACACCGTAGATGAGAAATTTAGCCAGTGCAGTACTACTGCCAGCCTGAGATCTTTAACGTGAGTCGCAAAGTGGCGATGCACAACCACATGCCGGTACGATGCCCGTCCAGATGGACACGGGTAGGGGTGGGGGGTGAGCCCAGGCTCCCCGAAATCTGGCAAGTGCGAGCTCTCGCTCCACCTGCTGTGAGCTACGGTGCACTAACACGCACAACCACCGATCCCCCTGTGCACACTACTAGACCGAAGGTTTAGTAGCTTTTGAGAGATTGAATCTATGCACTAATTATAAGAAATGGCAGACATTCTTAAACACCATTAAAAAGTATTTTAAGCCCAAGGCAAAAGAATGATGCGTAAAATAATTAGGCAATCAACGCAACTTAGAAGTGTTCCAGAAACACCCGATGGATGGCGCCAGAGTGGTTTCTCGCCGTATGAGACCACTCGGTCACGGTCGAATGCAAATGCGTTAACCAGCCTTATTATTGCTTAATATTATTATTATTATTATTATTATTATTATTATTATTATTATTATTATTATTATTATTTGCAAAAGCCTACAGATCTCCTGCAAAATCGAAGCGATCCTAGTGGTGTAGTGCCGTGCAAAGCATCTTGGGACCCCTTCGCCACGGTTTCATTATCTACTTGCCTAACTCTCTTCCCGACATCCCGTCAGAACCCAATGTGGTGCATTGCATTTTCGAATATGTGACGTTCCTTAAATTTATAATACTGTAGGTGTTGCCTACCAATGCAAATAAAGTGCTGGGGCATGTTTCCTCTTTTCAACGCGATAGCATTAAGGAGCTCGTGTCACAGAAAAGTCGGCGTCGGTGGTATTGCGACCGGAAAATCCTGATTGGTCAATAGGGTCATGACGTCACAGCCACATGACCTCGCGGGGGAATTTCAAACAACCCACAACGGTCACGTGAAACGCAACGTCACGCATGGAATGTACGGACTGTAAGTGATTAAAAAACATGACATGTAATGCGAACTAAAGATCGCTGCACGTCTCAAATGGATTCACTTTACAAAGTAACTCATTTGCCTTAAAAAAAATTTTGAAGAGTTTCAGGCGGGATACGGACCCAGGACAATTCGGTTGCTAGCCAGACACGCTATTGACTAGGCCACGCAAGGCACGCTTGCATGGCTTGGGAACGTGCGGGAGTTTATATGTTTCACTATTGCGTTCCACTCTTAAAGGGATACTACAACGAAATTTCGGCGCTCATTTTTTGGTCTATATGTGTTCAAAAGAGCAGTATCACATGGAACATACCAATATCTTGTTAAAAAAGTCTCGAAAAGGAATTTTAAAGCGAAATAAACGATTAGCAAAAAGCACCTGGTGGATGTCGCTAACGCCTCGTTTGTAATGCTCGTCTAGGAACCTTGACAGCTAGTGACGGAGGTTGTCTCGTCTCCGGCCACGACGAGAGAAGGGGGGAAGGAGGAACTCCCCTCTTCCCGAGAATCCCTTTTGTGTGTCGCAGAAGTCGCTATTGTCCCCCTAGAAGATTATAGAAGATTAACCCGTCACTCAAAATTCGTACAAAAGCAGCCGCTTCGGTGGCTGGAACGACTAGGCCATCCTCTCGACGTCAGCCTCGCCGTAGCTTTGCTCGTCTTGAGACGACCTACATCACGATTGCGTTGGATGTCACGTGCTCCAAGCTGGGCCTTCTCCGAGCGCTTGCCAGAGTGGGCCGTTTATAACGAAAAATACAGCCACCAGGATCAAAATACAAACGTGCGATTGTCATTTACGGATATTGTGGATCATATTCAACCTATTTTTGAACATGACGGGAATATTTCAAATTTTTTTAAGTATCCCTTTAAAGCTGAAGGTTAAACGTCCACCTGTAATTTTACACTTCAACTTCAAAGCGAATAAATAAAATCGCACATGCCAGTGAATCGACACAGTTAACCAAACTTTCATTTTTTTATTCTTTATTTTCTGACTTCCGACGTACCGGGGTTTGTGTGCATGTAAACAGGTCTATGAAGGCACATGAAAGAAGAGTACTGGGCCGGTCATCCTGTTCCACCCTCTCCTCAATGGGCGTCTTAATTTATCCGTGAGCCGGGAGGGCAGTACTGCACTCTGTAGTAGTATCCAGACCGCTGAAAAGGCATGGGACGCGGTTGGTCGTACTCCCATTCCTCGCTAAGCCTAGGCAGGTTCTTACGGCCACCAGAGGTTCGTGTTTCAACGGGGGCTCTCGCAAAGATTAATGGGTGCAATGTAAGTGAGCCCCAACTTAATTTTCATGTTGTGCTGAGATGTACTACTTTGTCAACGGGCAATCGAAATTGAAACCATGCCACCTCTCTCCATAGCCAAAGAGGTCCCATAATGAAATCCGTGCAATGTTGCATGCAGAGATTTTCGAAAGTAGTCTATTCAGACATTTGTGTTCGAGTATGAATGACCACACGACGACTCCTTGCATTTCACTACGGAGCATTGCGTGGGCCTTAGTTGCCATAGCAACCACCTCGTCCTAAGCAGTCGCAAGCAGTCGCAAGCAGTCGTAATGCAGTCGCAGATGAATGTCGATGTCCGTACCATCATTAGAGGAACAATGAATACTCAGCAATTTTTCTTAAACACTTCAGAGTTTTGTGCCTAAACTATATTGTATTTTCGTTAATGAATAAACATAAAAAGTTAGTTTACATCTAAGCTAAGTCAACTGAACCAATTAGGCTATACCGTAGTTGATGTGCCATACATACATTCAGTGCTCTTGACACTGGCAACCATATACCGTATATACGCGTGTAATGGCCGCAGGTATTTTTTTATGATTTCGGGCAAAAACTATGGGGTGCAATTCGGTTGCTAGCCATGTTTTCTTTTAAAAATGACTTAAGGTGGAAGTTTTCGCCCGTCTGCTGTGATACAAAGCATGACTGTACATTGCTGTCTCTTGGCACCCGTTGTGAGGACATGGACGCTCTTGGTACCTTTCGCCTCTACCGTCGCGTTTTCTGGTACGTCAAACCAAACCGGTGTTTGGTCTGCGCTGCCTATCTGCAACGGTATGTAGCCATGGTATTCCCACATCTTGATAACAAAGTCTGGAACGCAAGCAGCTTTTCTTCATACTCTTCTGATAGACGTTGACATATCATTGTCCGACGGCAGATGGACAGGTTCTTTCTATTCATGAAACGCAGAATCCACCCAATGCTGGCTTTGAACAAAGTCGCCGGTATCTCCTTCCTCCGTGCAATGTTGAGCGCTTTCATGCGCAGCATCTCCGTCAAAACCGCGTAACCATTGCTCCGGATGCTCGTTACAAATTGAAGGAGCAAATCTTCAACTTCGGCAAACAGGCTCTGCTTGCCTCGGAAAACGCGCTTTGTTGTCTTGGTCTTCCTTAGTTTGTCTTCTTGGAAGCACCACCGGCGTACACATTTGTTGCCGACACCAAACTTTCGCCAGGCTGCTCTTTTGCTGTTGTCTTGAGCAAAGTCAACAACTTTGAATTTAAAGCCAGCCGTGTAACTCGCATACTTACTCATCCAGAAGCCTGAAGCGGATGACAGCGGGAAACCGGGGGTACTCACAAATACAAGAGATGCACTGCGTCTGGTTCGAGATAAAGCAAGAGGCACAAACAGACAGGATAGAGTGCCTCAATGTCGTTGGCTGCCGCAGCCGGGTGGGCACCATCTATCGAAAGTACTTGAAAAAAAATATTAAAAATACATCCTCGAGTTCTTGCGCTGCGAACTAGAAGCGCTTCCAGCCATTCTAAAATCGTAAGTGTGGCCTATACAAGGTAATTTTTTTAATATATTTTTTCTGCTTTTTTTTTGTTTAAAGTAAAGGGTGCAGCTATTATGTGAGTGCGGCCATTACACGCGTATATACGGCATACTTTTTTTTCTTTTTTTTTGTTGAGTATTTTAGATATTTAAAACTGGCTATGTGCCAGAAGTTTCTTGAACTCTCACTCACCTGAGACTCTTTTTCAGTGACGTAGCAGTCAACTACTTGTTTCGCCGATCGTAGCATACCATCAAGGAGACCTATGGAAGAGAACTTCATCGGTATTCTCTACAAAGTTGATGTATTTTTCATTAGCAGTGACAAGCAAGCTCCAAATTAAAATACAGTGGAATCTCGTTAATTCAAACCCTCTTAATTCAAACTTGCGGACAATTCAAACTAACATGCAGGTCCCATCCTATGCGTCTCTATGGGAGGAAACTCCCGGTAATTCAAACTTTGCTTTATTCAAACAAATTTTTGGTCCCCCTCGAGTTTGAATTAACGAGATTCGACTGTACCTATTGAAATCCTATTCCTCCCAAAGACCCTCCGAAGAGCCCATATGATAAATGAAATGCCGTAATTGCTTACAAAAAGCTCCAGAAACAGTCTTGTGCCCCAAGAATTCAACATGACAAAGAAAGACAGAAGACGTTAAGCGAGACAACACATGTCCTAATAAAACTAATTATAGCATGAAACTAACATGTCTCTTTACAAAAAAGAAATTTAGCAAATTAATAGTAACAAGTATTGTATTACAGCAGCAAATAGTTATCTTAGGGCTTCTAAACTCGTCAGACACAAAGTTGGGGCCGAAGTTGACGGATCGCACGATTGGCCTATCACGACGATGACTTTGCGCTTTTTTGGCCGACGTCCAATCGGCGCGCTACTGAGACGTTCGGCTCCAACTTTGTGTTTCACGAGTTTAGGGCCCCAAATATTAGTATCTTTCATGTTGCATGACCCCTTTAATAGAATCTTTAATGCCACATACTCCTTGAAAATTATCTTTAAGAGTTTTTTTATGCCATGATAAGACCGGTACCCTTCACCGAAAGCCCATATCAATTTAATGTTTACCCACAATAACAGGATAACAGTTCAGAAGCCAAAAGAAAAAGAGAACTGAATTTTGTTCAGTTACGCTTGATAGAATGAGCTTCTCGTGTAAAAGCTCAGATTTCCAAAATTAATAGACCAGTCTCACCAATCGCTCGGCGCATGCATGACGTCGCCATAACTTTAGTTCTCAGAAGCAGGCTGCAGTGCATGAGGCGGTTCATGCCGTCTCATGCTCTACACGCGCAGAGCTCCATCGAGGTTGTCACTCGCTCAGAAAGACTTAAGTTCCCTCGATGCATTGTGGCAGCGGTGGCGTAGTCAAGCCGGCTGCTGAGATCGGTCCACTATAGTCTGCTGTAAGATAGATCTGCAGTAGAAGCTCTGCCTAGAGCGCGAGCTCTCTACCTTCGATGACAGTTTGGCACACATGCAGCCCAACACAACGGAAGGCAACAAGTAAACGCTGGGAACAAACCTTCTCTTGCATATCTACCATTGCAACAGACCATACTTACCTAGTTCAGCCCATTGGGAGAGTTCCAGTGCCCATTTTTTTTTTTTTGGAAGCAGGCAGACTGATCTTACTGCGACCGGCAATCCCGTTTCACATGGGCATTAACGTACCAAGCAGTGGCCAACGTTCCAAACATTCCATAACATTCCGAGCTGGACCCACACAGGCAATGCCCCCGGGACACAAATGCGACATACCCCTTTTCTGCTCTACCAGCTCCCTCTGGCTCCTGGAGAGGGGGGACAGGCCCCAAGACGGGGACAGGCCCTTGGGGGACACGCCAAATTCGTGTGGGGGATGCTGGTCCTCCTGGGAGCTGCCAAACAGCAGAGTCATGTTCCTGTTGGGCCGCTCCAGGGACCCTGCAAGAGAGACCGGCAGGCTCTCAAGTGTGCTCCACTGCTCTACTCTGAAGTCCCTTCGCGTGTCTGCAATTGTCCCACAAACATCAAATGCACCAACACACGAGGCCTGTACGGGCTTTTGGAGAGCGAACGGCCGAGGTTACAACTATGTTATCTACAACAGTTTTGACTGGGTAATGTGCCACTAACAATTTTCACAACATACTTGGTGATTGGTTAGAGTCATTTCAAAATGTTTTCTGGACCAGAAAAAAAAATATATAACTTTTGGAGAAAAAGCATGTACTTTGTTCCTATTCATTTCACAGCAAACACTAACATATGCTAAGACCTGTCCAACTAAAAGCTGGCTCACACATTTGCGCCTGCTTTCAATCAAATGTGCTATGATCTCTTCTGACCACTCAAGATGAGAGGATACACTGGCGCCATCTATCGGTTAGCCTGGAACGCTTCCACCGTGCCACAGCCTCCGAGACTCTCGGTGCACGAAACTCTCCTCCGCCCCTTCCAAACGCTCCTTTGCCCAGCAGAAGGAGCATATAGCGCAGCTTCTTCAGGGTTCCACAAGACAGCGCTGATACACAGCCGTTCATGATGCTGATACTGGCATTGTGGACAACGATTACAACAATGACGGGAAGGTATAGGCTTCTTGCACCCGACGTCACTTACGGTTAGCCTGGAAATCGAAACCAACATTGCCATCCGCCATCAGTGCCTTGGCACCACGTTGGAGGCATTCGGCGTCTTATTGCGATGCTTCCCCGATCGCTCCCCCCGCCGTTTGCTTCACTCGCGTTTGATGATAAAATAAATTGGTGGCGAACAGCCAATGAAACGCAGGTCAGAATAATGGTGCGTCTACACCTGCAAATAAATCGCTGCCGCCGGAGTGGAGTCTGCGGCAACGGAGAGTCAGAGGTGTTTACATCTATTTCTGCCACTAGCAGCAACTTTCTTGCTTGCTCTCCAAGAGTTGTGTTCTCGACAAGAAAGCGCAGGATATCTGGTCATCTGCTGCTCTCGGCCAGTCTCGGCAAGCTCTCGGATTCGCTCTGAGAGTTCAGTCTGAGTGAAAACAGCATCACTCAGACTTCAACCAACCACTTCTTGAAAAAGTACTAATGTTTGCTGTGATGTAAAGCAACGAGTATACTTTGGGTCCTCAGGCAAACAAGAACCTTTTCAACCGGGCAGCTAGCTAAGCAAGCTCTATGATGACGATTTCCTGCCCCGTACCTAGCGCCACAACGCAATAGAAACATTCTCGAGCCATTATTTTTTCTTTATCTCAGTCTTTCCCAACCAATGGAATGGCCGGAGAAGAGCTCTATGCGCCAAGTGTATCGGAGGCCACGGCTGTGCATATATTTCCTAGTATTTTACGCATCATTCTTTTCCCACGAGTTCGAAATAATTCTGTTGATGCTATCAGTAGGGTAATCGTTTTTGTTTTATTTTTATTTTCAAGTCTGTAGCATTATTTTCTGAACAGGGAGTTTTTTTTGTTTTTTTTTCATATTGATGTCATTTAATACAGAAATTTTTTCTTAATTGTTGTATGCTATGACTTTAAATGGAAAAGCACACAAAAGAAAATCAAAGTTAAGTCGGATGGCCCCAACAGAGAAATGGACTAAACTGATTGAAAACTTTGGGAGCTTTGAACCTCTAAACTGAGGGCATAAAAGAGGAAGGTCAACCCTAAACGAGGACACACAAAGGACAATGGGGACACAACCCTCAGAACAAGACAAAACTTAACTTGTCAACGACTGTTTAAACAGTCGTTGACAAAAATATAACCTCAAAAACGAAGAACCCTAGCTATAATTCAGGAGTCAGTGACCTGTGGCCCACGTGGCAATTCCACGAGGCTCCCAGCACAACGCCAGAAAAGCACCCTCCTTCCCTGCCGCTTCCTCACACAGATTCAAGAACCACATGGCAGTTTTGACCTCCGATTGGGTCAGATGGGAACAAGTAGCACTTCCAGTTGGAATACCCCAGCAAACCCATACTTGGGCAGGGAACATCTTAAAGGGATACTACAACGAAATTTCGGCGCTCATTTTTTGGTCTATATGTGTTCAAAGGAGCAGCATCACATCGAACATACCAATATCTTGTTAAAAAAGTCACGAAAAGGAATTTTAAAACGAATTAAACAATTAGCAAAGAGCACCTGGTGGATGTCCTAACGCCTCGCTTGTAATGCCCGTCTAGGAACCTTGACAGCTAGTGACAAAGGTTGTCTCGCTTTCGGCCACGACATGAAAAGAGGGGAAGGAGGAACTCCCCTCTTTCCGAGAGTGCCTTTTTTGTGTCGCAGAGACGCTATCGTCCCCCTACAACATTATAGAAGATTAACCCGTCAGTCAAAATTCGTACAAAAGCAGCCACTTCGGTGGCTGGAACGACTAGGCCATCCTCTCGACGTCAGCCTCGCCGTAGCTTTGCTCGTCCCAAGACGACCTACGTCACGATTGCGTTGGATGTCACGTGGTCTACGCTGGGCCTTCCCGGAGCACTTGCCAGAGTGGGCCGTTTATAACAAAAAATACAGCCACCAGGCTCAAAATACAAACGTGCGATTGTCATTTACGGATATTGTGGATCATATTCAACCTATTTTTGAACACGACGGGAATATTTCAAATATTGTTGAAGTATCCCTTTAACTTCCTTTTTACCTTTTCTTTGCCTGCCGTGCCTGCCCCGGCCCCTGCCTATGTCCATGCCCACACCCGCCCGCCTGCTTACGTCCCATCAGAATTTTGATACCTGGCTGCTAATTTAGGTTTAAACAGTTTTGAGTCATAAGGCACACTATACATCTTTAAGAAGAAGAAAAAAAAAGCAACACAACAAAAATTGGCATTGGAACGACCTAAAGTGCCAAAAAATTAATAAAAATATTGTAGAGCCCTTCCATTTCACATGAAGATGGAGGACCAGCGAAGCTGTGATTTTTACGACGTCTAGGACGACGCCTAGAGGACGACGTCTAGGACGATGCCTAGAGGACGTCGTCTAGGACGACCTCAAAGACAACTTCTAGGACAGCCTCGAAGACACCACCCAGAGGACGACATCTAGGACAACCTCAAGGAAGACTTCAAGGATGACTTCTAGGACGACCTCGAGGACGACGCCCAGAGGACAACACCTAGGACGACCTCGAAAACGATGCCTAGAGATGATAACAAGGGATGAGGACCTCACTATCTAAAGGCTTATTCACACAATGCATCTTTTCAACGCGCCACAGTTAAGCGAAATCAAGATTTCACGAAATCGGCCTGTTCACACGTGGAGTTTGTCGCACGAAACCTGTGACGTATTGACTCACGAGAATTTCGCCAAACCTTGTCATCTGCACCGGGAATACCAAGCGTTTCTCACCAAAATGATATGAAGTACGCACAGTGTGAAGAGAGTCTGTTTTATTAATACCACTCAATGAACTTCGTCAGAATCGGCTCACTGAGTTTACTAGTCCTGCCAAACCCGGGAAAGACCGCGAACGTCAAAGAACAGGCACATGATCTCGAAGCATTTCGGACATTTTCGCACCGCTAATAAAGAAAGTTATTCCCAGTCACCCGGTTTATATCCGGTACTTGCACTCGTCGCGACTATTGATGAATCTGTACCACGCCACCAACCCATACTGTAGGCGCCGTTCACACACCTGACGCCGAGTAGGACGTCGCCTGTACGCACCGCTTCTCCGCTTGTAACTTGCCATGTTTCTTCATTTTCTTTCGGCTTTGGCTTGGATACGGAATCGGCCGAAAATCAGACTCCTCCAAAAGCTCGCTCCTCCTCGAAGGTCAGACGCCATAGCAAAGTCGAGCGGCCATTAACAGCGCCCGCGTTTCTCCTTCGGGTGATTGAGAGGCCTCGGTGAGGTTTCAGCGAAAAATTGCTCCAGAAGCGAGGAAGACGCGCCACTTTTTTCGGAGGCACGCTACTTTTTCGGTTGCGTTCAGACGGGGAATCTGTTTCCCAAAACCTAGTTTCGCGACACAAGATTCGCCAACAAGATGCATAGTGTGAATTCGTTTATAATGCCAAGGAAGGCTGCCTCACGCTGGTTGCCCCCTTTTTTGGTTTTTCTTTATTCATACTTGATCCCTTTTTGTTTTTATTTATTCATACTTGCAGGACCAATGGGGAGCTTTTGCCGACATGTGAGGACACATTTTTTTCCCAGACCCTAGCATATAACACCTTCACTGTAAAATGATCTTCACATATGAGTCCCTATACAAAGCATGTGCAACATCAATATAAAACCAATAACACAAAGAGGAAAAATATATGTGGGCACGAGGAACCCAGGGCAACACACAGGAAACCCCCAAAGTTCTCAGAAATGCAGCCATAGAGTCCATAATTCGAGCCAGAGCATGCACCGACACTCACCGAAGGCGGCCATGGGGCTTCCTCCACACGAGCAACCGTAGGGGGAGCCCCGCACAGCCCTTGCGTCGCTCGTCCTCACGTTGAGGTCCTCGCTGAAGCTCACGGCCTTCTTGGCTCGACAGGAAACACACGTGCCGCCTGCCGTCGCGTGCCGCGTGCCCCTGCCGCCGTTACGGCGCCATGAGCCCTCCGAGTTTGTCCGCGACAGTGGGAGCGGGTCACGCTGGTGGAGCCCCCCCACACTGCACACCAGGTTGCCACACGGCGGGAGCAGCCCGTCCAGGTCCGGAAGCCCCTTGAGGAGTCGCCGGTAATCCTGGAGCGAGTGGCGCCGGTTCGGCACCTCCAGCGAGCCGGGGGCGCCCGGCGTGCCGTCGCACTGACTTCGCGGCCGGCGCGGCTCGTCGGGCAACTTTCTCAAGATCCCGCGCTGCTGAGACTCCGTCGGTGCAGGATTTGGAGGGGCGGCGTTTCGGAATCTGGACACCATGGCCTTCACGTCGTCGGGGAGCAGCACGCTGAGGGAGTCCCAGTCCTGGATGTGACTCAGGTTGCGCCTCGACAGGTCCTCGAAATCTGTGCACGACTTGGGGCGCCTCCAGTGGGGTTCACTGCTGTGCGTGCGCCGGTGCGGGACTGGCGGCGGAGCGGCTGTCGTGTTCACGCACGCGAACGCGGCGGGAGCAACTGTTGCCGCGGCCTCGTCGGGGGGGCAAGGTAGCCGGTGCTGCGTGGGCCTCAGGACCAGTTCCGGCTTGTCCTCCGCCTCTGCAAGCTCCTTGAGGAAGCTCAGGTCGGGGAGAGAGTAGTTGGGGTAGCAGACGTATATGGATCGCTTGGGCTCTCCGTCTGAACCGGCGCTCTCTCTCTGCGCCTGGAGCGTGGCGTTAAAGCTGCGCTGCCCCGGCAAAGCGGCGGCCGAGGAGTCGTCCACGGTGTAGAGCCAGTTGGAGCTCTCTGAAACCGCGCCTTCCACCGACGTCTGGATGCCCCGGTCGCGAATGTGAACGGGCACCTGCGTGCTGGAGTGGCGCACCCCCGCGATGGCAGTCAAAGGTGGCTTCCTCCGGTTTCCTCCCGCGCTCAGCAGGAAAGTCTGCCGGTGGATCTGGTCCACTGAGTTCTGGCGGCTCACGTAGCCGCTTGACGTGAGGCTCGACGAGCGTGCATTGCGCCCGTCCTCGCTGCCTCCACTGTCGGTGGACACCTTCTGCATACCCGAGGCGCCACCGTCCCCGCCATTGAAGCGTTTGGTCTGCGTCCCACGGTTCAGCTGCGAGTCCTCCTCGGCCTCCGCTGACGCGTTGCTGCACTTGTTGCCCGTCGGAAACACATTCTTTATCCTCTCCTTCCCCAGGGAGAGCAGCTGGCCGCTGCTCTTGGCATTGCAGCGCAGTGGGGAGTTTACGTCGTTGTTCCGCCGCTCGACAACACCGCCGCCCCCTTCCGAAGAGGCGCCTCCGTCGCTGCTCGCCAGCAGGTCACGGCTGTCCTTCATGGTCTCATCTCCGCTCGACTCGAACGGCTCCTCTTCTTCGCGGATGGGACTCCTCGCGTTCGTCTGCGGCTTCGTGCGCAACTGCGCGGCTTCGACTAGGCTGTCCTCAAAGTACTGAGACGTTGACGTCTCCTCCTCGCTCTCCGACGTCAACATTCTCAACCGCTCGTTGTCGTTGGCCCTAGTCGTTGCCGAGGTGTCCTCGTCGCTGCTGCTGTTGTTGTTGTTGTTGTTGTTATTGGCTTCCGCTACGATTTGCTTAACTCTAGGTTTGCACTTAAGGAACCTTTCACCGACGTCGCTCTTCGAGTCCATGGAACCGCTCGACTCTTCCGTCGACGACTGCAAGTGGTACGCCGTTGCCGCATCCCTCGGAGACGTCTCGGAATCTGAATTTTCCGACCTGCTGCTTGAGAGAGAGCCCCCACTGCCAGTCTTGCTTTGCATGAAGAGCCGCAGCAGCGAGACGGACCTCGCGTCGCCGGAACCGACGCTTCCGTGAGTCGAAGCCTGCAATCAAACGTCAGTCGTGATTCCACCTCGCTACTCGTTCTCCATCGACAGGCTCGTTCTCCATCGAGTACTGTTGGCTTAAATCGAGCCAGAATGCTTACTTCTGAATTATACCACGTTTAAGCAAACGGGTGCGACCACCACAAAATAGAATGCCTAGGAGGCTATCTGGACACTAGTCAGTACCAACCAGTGCAATATTTTTGGTAGGGCTGCGGGTGTCCCTTCTGTTGTGCATCGAAAGGAAGGAAAAGCCTCTTCTACTCAAACTTCGGGAGGAAGGGCAACATTATCCGCAATAGGCCACACTTCAAAATTTACTTAAGTCTCACAGTAGAATAATGGCTTTGTAAATCTTGGCGTTCAAAAACCTACCCGCATCCAGCGTTGCTCTATCTGTGTAGTCACGTGACATGACCCGCCACGGTAACTCGGATCCATTCGAGCAAGATTTGAAACACAGCCAAAGGAGAGATCTTGAATTCGACTTACCCAATGTGATCATTGGGGGGAAAATAAAACTGGAATACAGCTGGTTTTGACATATAAGTTCCTACCAACTTCCGCAAAAAAAGAAAAAATCAAGACTGCAAAATGGATTTTAAATGAGCCAGTTTCCACATAAAATCATGAGCTACATTAAAGTAATTGGACAGATACACCCCGATGAAAGGAGCAGCCGGTCGCCCACACTGCTGCATGTTCGATTCCTCCTTTGACAGCGGCGTGCCGGGTACCACTAGCTCATTTCGTGCGTGCGTTCATACGCTTGCATTGGCCTTAACGACGGAAATCCAGTCTCCAACTAAAGAAACGTCTATCGCCGTCCGGTGCCCCTTTCATGGTCCCACTCCCTCCCCCACCTACCTGGAGCGAGTAGAGTGGCAGGCAGCCGTCGTTGCCGCGCCCCGCCACAGCGGCCGACCTCCTGAGCAGATTGGGCAGGCTCTGGCTCTTTCCCCCGTCCGACGGTTGGAGCCGCACCCCGGACGACCGCAGCCGGTGCCAGGTGGTGAAGGAGAGCTCCGAGCGGGCCATCTGGGACGGCTGCTGCTCCGAGCGGGAGCCGTCCGAGAGGTCGTCTGAGAAGTGGGTGCCGCTCTGCTGAAAGGCGATGGTGTAGTTGTCCTTGTTGGCCTGGCAGGTCAGCACCAGGTCGTGGTCCTCCAACGAGCTGCAGTCCAGGCTGTCCGTCGACAGGGCGCCACCCGCGCCCCCTGGCCGCCCGCCCTGCCCCACGGGGTGGCACTCCTTGACCGGCGAGAACAGGGGCTCGTCCCGGCAAATGGACATCTCGTTGGAGTCGTCCCCGCTGCTCTCCTTGGTGCTGCGGTAACGAGTCAGACAAATAAGAAAGACCGCCTCCTCAAGGGAATATCTAGACGAGCCATCTTGGAATGCTCGTCCCTAGGCAGGGGGTCCCCAAATGTTTTGGCCGGAAAATACTTAAGATAATATAAATGAGAAAATACTAAATAAGTAAGCCTAAATAAGCATTTAATTAAAAAAATTTAAATGTGAGCCAACATTAAAAAAAAAATGTAAGGTGAATGAATATACAAATAATTTATTTTTAAATGTATTTGAATGTAATGTGTCACTAATTATGACATTAGAAAATAATTATAACCAGGAGAACTCACCAGGCATAATTGCATAGGTACTTTGGCATATTCACGCAGGGCGGAAGACTAATAATAGATCTGACGATGACAATATGCAGGAGTTGTAGCACAAGACACTGAGCATGATATAAATGAGAGTGCATATATCATAGTTATATAGACATAAAGCAGGAAACTACAAGAGTAATGCTGGTGATGACAATGTAGAATAAATGACGCGGAGAGAGATCCCACATTTTGAAGCCGTTTTTCCTCACTTTCTGATATCTTCATTTGCACTCTTGGTGTACGTCGCGGTGCTATTTTTTTATGCGAGCTTATTGCGTTTGTAGCAGCGGTCCATGGTCTAGGCGTCACTGAAAAGACCGCGGCCATCCGCGGGCCGACCAGAACGTCTTCACGGGCCAGGGTCTGGAAACCCCTGCTCTAGCCCAATCAATCAATCTATATTTGTGCAAGATTCGATCAAGTGTAATGAAGAAGTTCCTAAACAACCGCTACAAGGAGAGCGGGGCAGGTTAAGCAGTGCGTTAACAATTTCCCCTTCCTGCCTTCGTGCACAGGAATGCCATTGATCGAGTGTGCTACGACGCCAAACCAAAAGTTATGCCCGCACCCCGTCGCCGACACTCTCAACCTGGCCTTGCTGTGGCCCAACCAACACCAACTCCAACACTAGCAACTAAGGTCCATGCAGGATTCCCATATAAAACGAAAGGGTGAACACAGGAGGCATGCGAGGCTAACAGAAAGGTCACAAAACATGCATGCTCAAGCGCCGGAAAGCTAACCTCCCGTCATTATCATTGATTATCACAAATCATAAATTTATATGAAACGCACCCAAGTCAGACGGTTATGTCTGGGAAAGCGTTCCTCTCGCAGAACTCGACATAGTGTTCCTCTCATTCTTAAATAAAAACCATAGGCAATCATGCACAGAGTTAAACTGGCCTGCCTTCAAAGAACTATTAGCTACAATGATACTAAACAATGTTGTTAATGCTGCTACCACAGACAAATTCCTGCTTTTGTTGGGGCAGTTCAATTGAAAGTCAAGAAAGCTGAACAACCCAGTTGACTTCCTACCTAAAACTACAACACTTTTTAAAAAACCTCTAAAAAAACAAATTTTTTTTAAACAGTTTGGTTTGGACATGCGTGTCGAGAAATAAATTTTGCGCAAAAAAGACATTTTTTGGAGCAATATTGACGACGAGATATTTATTTAAAATTCTGACCGCAAAGTCCATATTTCGAAATAAATAGTGCGAAGGTCAAGAACAAACTGACGGTACAAGCGCTTGTACCGTCAGTTTGTTCTTGACCTTCGCGCTATTTATTTCGAAATATGCATATCCAACTAGCCCACCTTAATATTTTAGCAAAGTCCATAACGTCACGAAATGGTCATTTGCTCAACGAGATGGTAATTCACTCTTTCCACCTCAATGTGATGGCCAGGCCGATCCACCTCTGCTCCATGCACCCGAAATGCCGAGAGAAAACAAGTGGAAAGGAAATGACTAACAATTAAATCGAGTCTCCCGCCATTAATATTGCTCTAAAATATTTTTGTTCCACGTAAAATTGATTTTTTGACATGCATGTCCCAACCAGACTGTTTAAAAAAACTTTGTTTTTCTTTTCAAGATCTCTTTAACAGTGTAGCTCAAAAAGAAAGCTTAAAAAAACGAACAGATTCTATTAAAGTAAATTGACAATGTTCGCTTAAAGGGGCACTGACACCCCAAAGGTTGTATTTTTTTTTATTGTCTAAAACGATGCAAGTTGCAGTCATAAACACGCAAAAAAAAAAACGCATCGTGAAAAAAAACTTTTCTGCACGCGCGCTTTTATTTTTGGCGTTTGAATCTCCCGCCTCTCGCCTCCTCGCTTCTTTTGATTCGTGACGTCAAGAATCATGAAATTTAGAAGCCTTGTCGGCGACATCTCTATAACATTTAATAACGGAAATCCGAAAACATGTTTTTTAACGCAATCGCGACCGCACTACGGCCCTTCTTTTTGAAATACCAAAAATCGGGAGTTCGTTGTGGTGCCATCTCCTGGATTTCTATCCTCCCACGGAAAACAGTCGACACCGCTCAAAACAGTCCGCCACAACACCGGCGCTCGCTCCTTTCCTCCTCGCTTTGGGTCGCCATGGCAACAACAGGGAGTCGTGAAAGAAAGTGGACTCTCAGAACTCCGCAATATTTGACCTCAACGCACCGGCGCGGATCGCGCGGGAACTTCGAATTCGGCATTGGGAAATTGTTTTTTTACTTCACAAAAACTGAATTCCCAAATTTCAAATTTTGAGGGTAATGTCCCGGCATCGTTTTCAATCGTTTCGGATAATAAAGAAAAAATGATTTTGATGTGTCAGTGCCCCTTCAAAATTCTAAAGAAGCAAAGTTTCTTGTAAAAAGAAACCAAATTGCCCCAATGTACCCCCAACCTTAAGCTCCGTGATTAGACCTCGTTTCCTTATTTAACGTCTCGTTCATCAGATATGTACAATTTCCTAGTGCCCACGATGCTCCGGCGACCAAGAGGTGCAGGAAGATGGCAGGAAGGCACCACTCACTTGGCCAGGGAAGAGGACGCGTCAAGGGGCAGCGCCTCAAGAAAGGAGCCCGAGACTGAGGCACACTGTTCCCCGCGACTAGCCGACTGGAAGTCCCCACCGTAGAGCGCCGGCAGTGTCAGGATGGCATGGATGTCCTCCGAGCGGAAGGTCTCCATGTCGATCTCCGCCAGGTTGGCATCAAAGTTCTTGGAGAGGTCCTCGTAGGACAGGTCCACCCCTCCAAGGCCTCCCTCGTCCACCCCCAGGTCTCCCGCTGCACCCCCGGCCACCTCCAAGATGCTCCGGCGAAGCAGTCGGCCCGACGAGCTCATCGACGATGAGCACAGGTGCCTCTGGAACTCCCTGGAACCAAGTATATACGCGAGAGGGGTAAGAGTACCTCAGTCGCAACATTACCCCAAAAAGTCAAATTTGAAGGTTTTATCTGTCAAACCAAAGAGGGATCAAATTTGAAGATTTAAAATGCCAAACCAACAAAGGGAATTTGGCACATCCCAGCAGAGGACTGAGGATTCATTTCAACAACTTGGAAATCTTTTGACGTGCTATTGAAATCTCCGACTTCTCCACAATAGGCTTCTGTCTGCCACTTACAATTATCCAAATACTGGAAACAAGATCCAACCATCGCACCTTTAAGGCCCGTTCACGCACTTGCAACTCCTTAGAACAGGGTGCCTTAAAGCTTCTTTCAATCTCTTACAACAGGAGAACAAACTGACATGCTGGCACCACCTATGCGGTGACCCTGGAACTGCATTTCACTGAAGCGAAGGTTTGGCGCTATTTGTGAGGTCAAATATACATACTACATATGAGAAATGGTTGTTTATAACATTGGCAAAAGTTTTTCGAGCCAAGAAAGAAAAAATGATGCATGAAAGAAATTGAAAATATACAGGACCACCCAGTGTTCCACTGCTACCCAATAGGCGGTGCTAGTGTGGCCTCTCGCCATAAAAGATCTTAAGAGGTTTCAAGGCACTGGCTCTAAGAAGTCACAAGAGTGTCAACGGGTCTTTAGTGGCTAAGGCAAGGACGACACCTAAAGGGGAAACAACAACTTGTATCATTTGTTTGAGTTTTTGACACAGCACTGTGCTGACATTGACGAACAATGAGTCAGCGTCAGGCTGGGACTCTTCTTCAATTGGTGAAGCACCAACTCAATGCGCATCCCAATCGAATTTGTGACGCAGCGCTTGTGTCCTCTCTGCACACTTGATCAAAGATGACTTAAAGAATTCTGTCCACTGGCCTGGTGTTGGGTAAACACCGAGCTATGTGAAAAAGAAGCTATACGAAGCGCCCTCTAAGGTTTGATCGCATCAATAATTTGTGAAAAGCCAGTTGATGCCAGCTAGACAAAGTCAAGAGCTTTATACACAAAAAGGAGGCTTGTTTGTGGGTGCGTTTTATTGCACCTATTCTTCCTATACAATATGTTTTGGAGTCAACAATGAAAATAAAAATGCAGAGAAACTTGTGCTTTCTCCACTATGTTCTTTTTAATTTAAAGTCTTACACTGGTATGAAGCTGGGGCATTAAAGGGCAACTCCACTCCATTTTTACGCTTTTTGGGTTATGATCTGATTAGTCGAAGTCGGCGACCCTGAATCACGAGATATAATTTGTTTTTCGGTAGTGTGTATAGTTTTGTAGATATCGCGAATCTAAATATCGTTCCGGCGGCACGGCGAAACCGAAACTACCGGCTGAAGCAGCTTGGCAACACTGATATTAGTGGCGCGTCGTCGGCATGACCTAGTTCTGGTCCCGCGCTTCTGAGCCGACGCACCGACAATGTCGGCTCAGTCCCACGTGGAGTTTCAAAACAGAAGTTAAGTTGCACATTTTCTTTTTTTGCCGCTTCACTTTGTTAATATGCACCAAAAGTAGTAAGTTTGAGAGTGTATTTATAAATTTTCCGGCTGAAAAGCGAATCCGACTGCCATAAATATGACGCGGTCAGTGCCGGCGCAGCGTGACTGTATTTGTTTCTTGCTCGCGGACCGAGAGAAAAAGAAATAAAGGGAGATAGATGGACGGATGTATCCACAAGCGGTCTAAGTTGTTAAAGCTAAGGTTCCTTTATGTGCACGCTAGTTAGATCAGCCGCGACCTGCTGCGTCCGGCCAATCGTGCCGGAGCAGCCGGCGGACGGTACGCAAACAGCGACGGCACTGCATCGTTCTTCAAAGACGCACGTTTCGTGGAGAAACCCGCAACAGTCAGCAGCCGCAGATCCCGTGTAGATGTCTCATGTAAAGTGCTGGGAGCAAAGCTTCGCGTTGGAGCTCGGAGTCGGCGGTCTTCTGAAGTCTATCCGGCGAACCGCACCGACCCACACCTTGTGTCTCTTCCGGTCTCTTGGGAACTGGTGGAACCGCAGCTCCGGGTTGCGCACCGGATTGTCGGTGCAACCCGCAGTACTACAAGTCGTGCTCGACATTGCACAACGCGAGTCCGGCGAGTCTCTCCGGCTCCACGACACGCGCGCGAGCGAGCAGCGCCGCTTCGCTCTCTTCCGTGCTGTCACGGAAGCAATGCTGGAGTTAAATGAACTGCCTGGACGCTAATAAAAATAAGAGAACATGGGATAATGTGGTAAGCACTCTTGCCGTCAGCAGAATCGCAGAATGCCACGGAAACGAAGCGTCTGCGGCATCCGTACGAGAGCGTAGGACTAGACCTACGTCACTGCCCAGTGTTGCTTCACTAGCTCAACCGGGGCCAGCATTGCTCACCCGCTTTCGGGCCGCTAACCGAGCCGGGAGAACGTTTTTAATATTGGTTTTAATCGGTAATGCGGTGTCGGTTTGACGTGATATTTTGAGTATGACCGTATTTCGACCCCCTAAAGCGATATCAGTCATTTAGATACGGCCGACTTTTTGAGTGGAGTTGCCCTTTAAGTTGCTGTGTAAGACTTAATTCTCAAAAGGACATAATTCTTTGCAAATTCCGCAATAAAAAGATATTGCAAAAATCTTTCCATACGAATACATTCCCCCACATTGCATGGTACCCCCAGTTGCAAATTTTTTTTGCACGTGAAATATTAACAAAACCTACAATTAACGAAATTTGTGAAATATCCAGCCCCTGAAAGTTAAGTAGTTTACGATAATTGCGACAACACTTCCACAACTGTTTCCGAGCCCACAATATGATATAATCGACTCAACTTCTGGTACGTCCTCTGCAACGCTGAGAACACCCACCACTCCAAGATCATACTGACCGAAAATGAACAGAGCCTTGTGTTTTAAATGAGACAATCCACAGTGTGTGTGGACAACAACCATGTCCTGTAAACCTGCGCTTACAGATCAGAAACAAATGTCCTTTAGCTGTAGCATCATGACAAAAGGAAAACAAACAAAAGCCCAAAATGCAGGTTCAAATCAAGAAACTGCCGCGTGCGTGGCACAGTTGGCAATGCACATGGCTGCCAAGCAGAGGTATGGGATTCGAGCCCTGCTCGGCCCGGTACCTTCTTTTCTCAACATTTGTTCTTTTGGAAGGTTCCAGACCATTCTAGGCTGTCATTGTGCACCCTGGTTCGGGCCATTCCTCATTGTATTGCGTAGCGTGCCTTTGGGACAGTAAGAACATTCTTGTCACCATTGCAGCACCTACGGTACTTGGCTTTAGTTTGGGCACAAATTCACCTCGTTAAATGTTTGTCCTCAGTTTTACATTTGCCTACGATTTTTCACCTGTGACAATACTACTTTGCTCAACCTCTTTTGTGCTTGGCACAGGCGGACAAAATAGGGGGCACAAACAACCGCCTCACCCACCTGTTGAAGGGGTAGTCTGCGCACCACTGCAGCTCGTCACCGGGATCCTGCAGCAGCACAGAGTCAGTGCAGGACGACGTCTGACTCGGCGGAGTGTCCCTGCGCAGCACCCGCTGGCCCAGGCCATTGTTGTTGTTGTAGTTGAGCTGGGACAGACTCAGCCCGGCATACTGCTGCTGCTGAGCCAGGGCAGCCTCCATCATCCCCGAAAGGTGCCCCGCCCCTGGAGACAGAGGGGAAGGAACGGACATTCGGTTTAAAGTGGCAACGAAGCGACATTTAATGTGCATTGCTGCATGCAGCAGAGATTATAGAAGCAACCCTGACAAAAATTGAATTCAGATGGTTCCTTCCCCCCCATATTGATGAACGGTCGGCGAACCAATCACACCAAACGATAATGTGCACAGAGAAGGAAAATGTGTGTGATGCATAGTTGTCTGTGCTGAATTTGGCTGTGATGTGGTTTTCGTTAAAAAAAAAAAAAGAAACCATTAGTATGAAGGTGCCAAGTAAAATAGGGCAACAAAACAAGGTTGTCTATGAGAAAAAAGATGTGAGATCGTCTTCAGGATTTCTTGAAGGCATATAGAACACTCTAAATAAAATCTCCTGGTCTGTATTTTCACCCAAAAAGTGCCGTCCGACAAGACCTTTATTATAGCCATTTTCTGACGTATAAATCAAGGTTTTTTCCTAAATGTTTACAAACAAACAGGAGCGCATGTTTACCGGAGCACATGTTTACAAACAAACCGGAGCGCCCGGAGCGCTCCTAGCGGACGCCACCGGCGCCGCACATGCGCGATGGTGGTGTGGGCAGGAAGCATGCCGTCGCCCATAAACAAACCATTGAAATGCGATGTTATCAGCGTAAGTGAGAGCCCCTTGCCGTTTATGGCTTTCAAATTGTTTATTCTATGTCTTCCTGGCAATGTCTGACTACATGAGCGGCGTCAGCGAAATTAACGAGGCTCGTTACACCGCTGAACTTTGCGTGAATAATCTGACATGCGGCGATTCATTCCGCGTGGACGCCGCAGAATGTACGCTAAAGCCTGATTCACATGATGAGATTTCGCCCGCAATTTTCAGTAGCGACGTCACTCAGGCTGCAAAAGCGTGCACCGTAGCTGAGATGGTCGACGTCGATACTGAAAATCGCAAGCAGAATCGGAACAAGTGAATCAGGCATAACAAGTCGGTGATGGCCACTGGTAACAATGATCAACATCTCCTTGTATCTACTGTTTACATCCAGCCTGCTTACCAACCTTCAAACTAAAGTCTTTTGAGGCCTGCCCTTAATTCTTATCGCAAGTACCGGGCCCAGGTTTGGTCTACGGGCCGGTGTCATCTAAAAAAGCAGACAAGAAGCAGAAACATTTGAAAGAGCAGACGACAGTTCGAACGATCAGGCGGCCGTTTGAACTTAAAGACGCACTGAACGTAGTCCGCAGGTGGTCCGTACAACTTGACAGTTTTCCGGCGCTCATGTTGGAACAAAACAAATAAATCTGATGACCACAAGTATCCATGAATTCAACCCAAAGTGCCTCCTGCCCAAGCAATCATGGTCTGACGGCGTCTGGTTTTTCTTTTTCACGGCACATAATCACGTTCTCGGACGAATTGAGCACATGAAAACTGACCTTCAAACCTTTCTCGACTCTTTTGGTACAGCCCCAGTCACGGCGTTTTGACAAGAAGGCAGGTTTTTGTCCGGTTTTTCCAAAGTAACACAGGAATGCACGTGCCCCATGGCGACTTCCGCCCACAGCCCCAGACCGGAAGTGCGCCCGATGCGCCACCACCGCGCCGCGACGTAACAGAGGTGAGTTTGTGTATAAGAAGGTGAGACTCATATGTTTCTTTATATCACTACGGCCGTCAACTAAGCAAATTTGTCAGAGGATTCTATTTCTCATTTTTTTCGTTGGTTTGGGATATTGAAACTGGCCCCCGCTTGCACATATATTTCTATCACAACACACATGTGCGGGCTTATCAATGCAGTTTCGTCACGCCTACCATACAAATATATTAGTGCGACTTGCATAAAAACTTTCTGGCGAAAATACCAGTTTATAGACCGTTTTATTAGGGTCATAGCAGAGAGGGTAAAAAAAGAAAAGAATGCCCTCCCCCTCTCGACCGTATGTCGTCTGCTCCGCCGAGTGGGCAGTACCTAGCATCCCGCCGGCGTACTAACTCTGTTTAAAATCGCGTCATTTTGGGAATTCCAAGCGCAGATGCACAGATTTTGGTATGCCAGTTATCGTGTATTACTATGCTAGATAAAAAAGACTAACAGAGTCCAATTGTGCTGTTATCTGCGTGCAAATAAAAAAAAATAGGGAAAACTGTGTCAGACTGGCCGGTCTCTCCGGCGAAAAGTAAATACGGTGGCTGTACCTTTTTTACTATACAAAGTTTGTACTGGTGTAGGCCTTTAGCGACCATGAGTGGATGTCTGAAATAATAAATAAAAACGTGCTCTCCTGCCGCAATACACGCAGTAGTTGAAGGTAGTACTGCTGGCTAACTCAACTGCTATTTAAGTAACGGAAAAAAGATATGTCAGTTGATCATTTACCGAAATAGAACAACAGAGAGCTCTAGGCTGATTTTGGAGTAGCCATAACTATTCTAAAAACGCGAACCACTTCACAACGGCAGTCACGAGCGAGAGTTCGATGTTCCATACAGCCCGCCGATACAGTCCAAAGATGGAGAGTGGCAACCTCCCAGTTTGTCGTCTGCTAGCGGAGTCGGGCGCGTGCCCTCTCTCTCGTTTTACCCCGCCGAACCCGCTGAATTTCCTGGATGTATGGAGAGGGCGCTGCTGTCGAAGAAAATGGTGCCGCCCAGAGAGCACTAAATGGAATAGTCTATAGGGGCATAAAACTTAGACCCTTTAGATAAAAGAACGCCATCTACAGCACACAAAAACCAACTAGCCCCCGCCGCCATCTTGAAAAACACCGCATCGCTCATGCCACTCTGCAAACGTTTCAACGTTGCGATATCAATCACAATTCACTCCCGTTCTGTTGTGTAAAGCAGAGTGTCGAACTAAAATTTTTATTGGTTCAGTTCAAGTTAGGGTTCACGGCTCTCGGTTCAGTTCCGGTTCAGTTCCGGGGAGCAAAAAATAGTGGTTCAAACCGGTTCGAACAGGTTTGAACTGCTAAATTGAGAGTATACTTTCCGCGTTTTTCTGGCAATGGGCACTATTTACGCCGTGAAATGATTAACTAGTATATAGTTTTTTCTATCGCTCGTGCAATCCACTTTTATTTTCAGGTACCTAAAATATATTAGGTTATTTAATACCGACAGAACACTGAATAAAAAACAACATTAACATTGTGGGGACCGTTGGTCGCCCTTCCCCGATGGCCGGTATAACGGCCGTGGTTCGGGACGCGCGGCCTGGTTGCCGTGAGTTCGAACCTGTTCGTGAAGCGTAGGAGAGCTGCCTGGCTTGGGGGGCTCTCCTCCTCACTCTCTCCCGGGGGGACCTTTTTCCGTCCCCCTGCTCATCCGGGACCTGGTTGTTTTGGGTGAGGACGACGCCCGCGGAGGGAGGAGGTCGACGCACGTTCCCGACATCGGGAACGTGGGGGACTCCTCCCGCGGATGCGATAGAGATCGGACGTGTCGCGAAGGACTTCCTTTGCCCACTCCGGACTGCGCTCTCGGGACGGTGTCGACAGGGTGAGCCTTTCATCTGACCTTGTCGGCGCGGGGGTTTTGGGGACAGTGTGTCTTTTGGTGTTCCAATAAACACCGTTGGACCCAGTCCTATTGTGGTACGTGCTCCTCCTTTTTAGAGAAGCGATCAGTTGTGCGGCCGACGTTCGGACCCGCCCGTAGCGGTGTTCTCGAGAGAAAGCTGCGGGCTGTGGGAGTAGGCTTGGCGTCTCCCGATTAGAGACCGCTGCTGAACCCTTCGGTTACCACCACCCGTGACCATCCCACAACATACAAAACATTGTGTTTATATGACTCAACATCCCTTCGTTTACCAGAGTCACATATATTGTACTGAATCAAAATGTTTTCGCGAAGTGAGGTAGGTCGCCTAAACTACCCGTGATTGGTACAACTTTGCGTCGCAGCATTAGAAGTTGAATCGTGGTAGTGCCCTTGAACTAAAGAATTAATTACAGTGCATAAAATCATAAAATTTTCAAAATGTCACGAAGGTTTTAGGACAAGCCCTTCCAGTCAATCTTCTATAGAAACACTCAGCGGCAATCACAATGGTCATTTTTCTAACCAATATTTTTAAACTGAGCACCGTGATGCAGGAAATTGTTTACTCTAATTTATAAGAACCTTCGTACTAAGATCGAATCTGGCCTAAAATAGTGCTTACCCAAATGAACATTTTCTTATACAGGATAAACTGGCATAACCTGGATGTTGAGGTTTGTTCTTGACAAGATGCCGATCAATTTAATTTGCAAATAAGCATCACCCTGGCTAATTGATAATTTTTTTTTAATGGAACAAAGTGGTATTTCATGCTCTACTCGACATGGCAGCTACTTAATTAGACACTTTCTGACGGTTTGCATGCGAAATCGTCATAGTTCCACCACGCGTCCTTATGTATTTTGTTTTTGTCCAACCCACAGATACATAAAAGTTGTGTTCATCACATAAAAGAAACAATAACAGACTTCTATATGTTTGAAAAGTTATATATGTGTCACAAACACAGTTATTTAAATCAGCTTAAAAATCAAAAATTTATTTAAGGCCTTCCCAAGTCACTTCTAATGTGTCTATTGAGGATAAAAATGCCGGAAAAGATTTGCAGAGCATCCGAGATAATTTGGGGGTGCATTTACTTATATATCTTGCAAAAATACTCCAAAAGCCGGGAGACGCCATAATTAAAATAAGAGCACCGTTGCCAAATCTTCAGTCAGTAATTATATATTTTTATTATCATCGATAAATTTGACGCTTGAGACCGACACGGGATGACGATACTTGAAAGTAAGCCAGCTGTTGAGTCTGCGGAAACATGCTTTTAATCTGTTTTGCAGTAGAAAATACCGGGTTGCAGAGTATGCCAAAAAGTGCTTTGTGCTCACATGAGAGATCGGAAGGCAAATACACTAAATATGCAAAAAGAAGGACATAAATGGCACGTTTTCTAAATAATATCTTACAGAATGCCTTACTACAAAAAGAGATGCATAGAAA